TTTTTAACTACGTAAAAAATGTAGGCAAATTAAAAATCTCCCTGTTTTGAAGTAGGTTCGATTAATAAGAGTTACCAGTATGAAGGCATCATTACTATTTACAAATAAAGCATGACGGGTAGCCGGATGCGGCTTTCACTGTACACGGCCTTATGTCGTAACCTTATGAAACGGGCACAACATAACAATTGTTGTGTTGTTGTAAGAACAACACAACAACACGTAACTAACATTTTATATTTCTAAAAATTTTAATATGTAATAAGCTAGTCTTAAGCTAAACAGAGCATGTGTTATGGGTACTGGACAGCTGATATAAATACATACATACTTTTATTCAAATACATATATTAAAAAACCCTCATTGAGACATTACATACTCACGAAAACAAAGAAACATAGTGCGAGGAATTGTACTCGCAACCACCAGAAGCAAGGCGGTGTGCTAACCCGCTAGACCACCGAGGTCGTCAAAATAATAATAATTCAGGACAATTAACACAACGCCATCTAGATTTAGAATAGAAAATAATTTATTGACCCTTTTAACACATATACATCCTGACGAACTCTGTGTGTCGGTTTGGCACATCGCTTTCCGATATTCGCATGTTTGATTCCTCGTGTAGTACAAATATTTGTATTCAAGAGAAGGATTGCTTGTGTGTGCTATTTTCTATGTATAATATGTATTGTAAAAATCTATTCTATTCTATTATTTTAAATATCTATAAGTATTTATTTCAGTTGTCTAGTATACATAACACAAACTCTGCTTAGCTTGGTCTTAGTGGCGTTCTGTAAATAGTTTATTGAGTAAAAATTTAAAAAAATACAATAGGAATAAAATAAAAAAATCGAACATCATAGAGTCAATATGGACCAGAACTCAGAATAATATTAAAAATATGGTTTTCAGCGCTGATTTTTAGGATGGCCCACTCTAAATTCAGACAAAACTGTGTAAGTTTTGTGCGAATATAGTATAACCCGTACATACTAATTATAATATATCTATACATATAAATAAAATTGGAGTATTTGTTTGTAATATTGAAATAACCGTTTTTTACTACATGTGTATGAATATAAATACGGTACATACACCAAAATAACATTTTTTACAATTTTTGTCTGTCCGTCTGTCTGTTTGTTTGTTCCGGCTAATTTCTGAAATGGCTGCACTAATTTTGACGGGAGTTTTATTGGCAGGTAGCTGATGTAATAAGGAGTAACTTAGGCTACTTTTATTATAGAAAAATAAAGTTAAATTCCACGCGTACGAAGTCGCGGGAACAGCTAGTATATAATATAAAGTCACTATTAGTATATATAATAAAAAGTGTTCTTATTGTGCACGTTCAGATGTCAAGAAATTAATACTAAACTAATTATATCATTTACATAACTTAATTATACAACTACAACCTAAAATTAAAAAGATTTGAAAATATAATGCAATAACTAAAATATATTATTAAAAGGGATCCCTTTAGACAAGGTTCCGAAGATACTGGCAGCGTTCCCTCTTTGAATAGCTAGACTAATTCTTTGTCCAAGGTAGCTGCCAGCCCTTCGGTCTTCTGTGATGTCGACTAACCTTTTCGTTATTTCTTTGAAAAGTCTTATAGCGCTAGGACCCCACGGACCAAGAGTCTCGACACCGAATGGGACAAAATCATATTCGGAGCCTAGACCCCTGTATTTGTATATAAAAATATATTCACTAAAATATTATAACAGGATTAGATGAATGGTTAGTTTTCCGGAATAACAAGGCATATCACATTATAACGTGTTATCCATGGTCCTGTTCATGTATATAGACAATTACCGCTTACCATCAGGTGGACGGTCAGCATGTTAGGCATTCTGATTACATAAAAAAAAATATAAGTGGTTTTATTTTCCATTGAACACTAATTGATGTACCATTCAATATATAAACTACAGTTAAACCTATGAATATATAATTTAACGTTTAATATTCATAACTGGCAATAAGACACTGGGAAATGTAATTCAAATACTCACTACTCTACCAGTACCTCTTTTTTCTTTTATTAAAAGCCTCTTAGCCTTGTGTTTTACGACTACGACTTCCAGATCGTAAGGTCGTGAGTTCGAAATTAGTTAATACCAAATAGTTTGTTTACTCATTTATATTTCTAGGTAAACTAAGTTCCAGTAACTGGGAGAAGGGTATTATTAGTAATGGGCACTAATGACCATATTGTTAACGATACACCTTGTCAGGATGACTTCCAGTCGCTTTCGCGCTTTGCTTTCCCTGAAAACCTGGTTCTCTCTTAAAACCTGGTTAATCCTTAGTGAATTTCTTGCAATAGTCTAACTAACTTGCCCTCCAACTGCTCATCTTTTCATCTCCACCAGATTGTAGAGAGATATCGCTTGTATACCTCTCGCTCCCACTTCTTTGATCGCATATAAATTAACCAGTTGCTTATTCGGTAATTCATTGATGAATAGAATTTTTTTAATCTAAATATATATGTGGGATTATCGCGGGTGAGTCTTAAAATCGTCTTTACATCGTCTTACGTCGTTCTCTCTACTCCCTCAATTTTTTTTTAAATAAAACTATAATAAAAATAAAATGTATAAATCCTCCATCCACATAGGTATATAACTCAAAGGTGACTGACATAGTGATCTATCAAGGCACAGTCCAAACCACTGGACGGATCGGGCTGAAATTTGGCATGCAGGTAGATGTTATGACGTAGGCATCCGCTAAGAAAGGATTTTGAGTAATTCTACCTCAAGGGGATAGAATAGGGGATGAAACTTAGTCAATTTCAAACCGATCGAGCTGAGACTTTGCATGCATAAAGCTACTATGACGTAGGCATCCCCTAAGAAAGGATTTTGATGAATTACACCCTTAAGACGATAAATTAACGCGAACATAGCCGCGGGCAAAAGCTACTTTTGAACATATAAGGGTAGTTCTGTAATATTATTTTATTGTTTAAATAATTTCGTTTAGTAGTATAAAGTAGTACCAAATAGTCCATTAGGTCTTATTACGAAACTTAACCTAAAATTGAACCAAATACCAAATTTGGCCATCATTCTAAAGTTCTCACGAACAATTACTGAGAGAAGAAAGACAGAATTGATTTATTTATTTCTGTTATCATACAACTGTGCGTCATACAACCTTTTACTACAGAAGTTATTAGAAAATTCATTCTGTATTTAAGGCGAATTTAAGTCAAGAACTAAATAAATAAAACAGTACTAGATTATAAAAATATACCTCTGTTATATGTTCATATGACAAATACTCTGCTTAATCTAAAAGGCATGTACTCGACTCCATTTTATACACTCATAAAAAAAGAAAACAAATATATTTTACTTAATTTAAATTCTTCTAAGTAAAACCGGCAATATGCATATATTGTTTTACTTAGAGGAATTAAATGATGCCGCATGGTGTTAAGGCCGATAAATGTACTGTACTTTGTATTGTTTGCAAATAAATAAATAAAATATATATAAGATATAGTCTTGTTCGATATTTGAAACTAATATTTTGTGCAATAAAACAAAAATGAAACAATTGGCAAAGTCCGTAACATAGGAATTCCAATATAATTTAATTTAGATTCAAAAATCGAAAAAATACAGAGAAAAAAAACAGATTTTTTAAAAATATAGGTACTTACATCCCAATTCATCAAAAAACTTCGACTTGTGTCCACTCAAGTCTTTCAATTCATGTTTATCATTTGTATCAGTGTCACCGGTCACTTTATCACTTAATTTAGTCACATGCACATCACTAACTAAGTTCTGTAACGTAACAGGTATTTGTGGTTTACTAGCCGATTTGTATTTCAAGTTTTTCAACTGTCCATTGTCATCGAGCACAGTAATTTCCTCAAAATGGTTCACAATATCTGCTTTTTTACCTATATTCTTTAAAATATCCGTTTTATATTTATTTTCACTCAAAAGTCTTGTCAAAACTGCACCCTTGTCAAGTAACAGGTTTTTCGTTTCATGTACATTGGTATTCACAATATCATTGTCTGAATCGATATCTTCACATCTAATAAGATTATTCAACAGTAACAATAAGATCACTTTTGTGAATAAAACTATATTATTCATAATTGTTTTGGCTTATTAATCACTAGTATTTTATTGTTATTTCAAAAATAACAGTTACACTTTACCGCTTCACACCTTTGTCATTTAAAAACAATAACGTTCTATTTTTAAATTTAGTTTTTATTCGCGTTGGACAAAGGAAATATTCCGTAAAGTTTTATTTAAACGAGTGTCATCGTTTTTAACTAGGTTTTGGTAGAAAAGCGAAAGTGATTGGATCTGCGCCCGCGACGACGCAAGACGACCACTCGAGTGACGAAAATCGATCTCTTAAACGACTAGTTCGGAGAAATGGGTTTACATAACGTTACACGTCCGGTTTGGCTCGAAATAATTTTGTATTTAGTGCATTTGTTTATTTTAACCTCCATACAATAATACCGGCTTTATACATATTTGTTGAATTAAAAAAAAAACGACAATTAGTTTAATTTAATTAATAATTTTCAGTGACTTTTTAAAAATATTTCTACTAATAATAACCTTTTAATATTAAAATCTAAAACGTCAAAGAAGTTACATATATTATTTTAAAATAAAAATTAAATATCTAAATTTCTTAACTTACATTCAATGATAAAACATAGAGTTTCTAAAATGTCCATAAAATGAACATGTTTGAAACTGTACACTCTATATTTTGTATTTCAATATCTCAATAGATATTGAAATACAAAATATAGAGTTTCGAAATAGAACATACTAATATATTACAATACATGTAATATATTAGTATGTTCTATTTCGAAACTAAAGAATAATTCTGAAGAAGAGTTTCTAAATTATTAAATAAAAATAATAACAATAATATTATGGATTTATAGGTTTTAATTATTAAAAATATAAAAATAATATTATTACAATTTGCTTGTAGAGTTTTTGACGATATTGCGAAGTTCTTTCCTCAAAATCTTGCCGCTAGCGTTTTTTGGTATTTCAGGTATGAATCTAACTCCACCTCGGAGACGTTTCGGATTTGACAACTGTAAAAACATAAAAATTACATCACAAAATAAAAAAAATATACCTTAATTATAATATAAACGCGGAAGTTTGTTAGTGTGGATGGATATATGGACGTTTATTACTCTTACATACATTCAAAAACGACTAAATGGATTTTAATGAAACTTTACTATAATATAGCTTATACATCAGAAACCGTGGGCACAGCTAGTTAATAATAATAATATCTTGGGACAATTCACAAAACGGCATCTAGTACCAGGCTTATCAGAGCTAGTTTTATGCTGATATAAACATATAGATGTTTATTTAATTTACAAAATTTAGAAAACATGCGGACCACCGTGTGTGGAATAATGTAGGTACATAAAATATAGAATTATTACTTTTTTGAAATCTATTGAAAATATCCATCTGGTTTGGATATCGTTTAATTACTATTATTATAAAGATCTTGCATTGAAAAAAAATTATTGCATGACGAGGAAACAGCCACTACAAATCCTATGTGGTTGTAACTCACTCATGCATAAACGAAATATCTCCATTAGAAAGTATACACACTATCCTGAGTAGAAAAATCTATCGCTCCTAAGTATATCCTTCATATTTTTTGTCCCTGACGGACCTAGGCAGGAAATTTGAAAGAGTGTGTGAACAATTGCTCTCGGTAGGTCTCAGTGCTATAGGTCTAACACCTGGCAATAACCCGAATATCTTAATAAAAAAAATCTTCCACGTACAAGCTCTTAAATTAGAGTTACAAAAATTAAAAATGTACTATACCCTCTTAGCCACAAATTCCTGAAGTTCCTTCTCTGTTACCGACTTCTCTGGTTGTTTAACCACAAAAGCCAAAGGTACTTCGCCTGCTTCTCTGTCTGGGATTCCCACTACACCTGCCTCTTGTACTGCTTCGTGTTGCAGCAGTAATGCCTCGATTTCAGCAGGAGGTACCTACAGTAATAAATAATAATTAATATACGGCGATCGAGGAGTTTAGCACACTGCCGATTATGCTTCCAATGGTCTTGGGTTCAATTCTCGGACGATACTAATGTTTGTATATATGAGTATGATTTTTATATTGGTGTGTTTATATCTTATTAATATTATAAACGCGAAAGTTTTTTAGAATAGAATAGAATAGAAAATCATTTATTCAAATAAACTTAATTTAAGCACTTTTGAATAGTCATAACAATTTGTTTTTTATCTACCACTCGTTCGGAAAGCTGTCTCATCACAAGAAGAACGAGCAAGAAACTTGTGTGTTGCTCTTTTAAATAATCCTTGTAAGTTTACATTTACAAGTCGAAACGTGTGAATACAAACTACCAACAAGCACTAATTTTTTGGGTCAAATATAATCATGCAATAAGATTAAATCAGTCGTAGTAATAAGAGCAGACCAGTCCCTACAAGCAGCACTCGTTCACGAGTATGACGGATGAGCCAGCCATCACTGCGCTCGACCATATTTTAGGGAGCCCATTGACCCGGCCCACCACGCCGCCACATGTCTGGACATTTTAGTGAGCATGACTACTCATTCCACACGACCACGTCACAGCTACAAAAATTACTATATGGTAGTTACAGTATTCGCACTTTACATAAGGATGCATGCGGCAATCAATACAAAAGCCGCTACGCTATCATATATCAAGAAAGCAGTATGAAAATTAAAATTATAACGTTGTCCGCAAATAAACTTATTCTTGCTATATATTGCTATCATCTATAAATTCATCTATCTTATAATAGGCTTTTTTACATAACATTTGTTTAATATAAGATTTGAATTGCCTCTCTGTAAGATTTAGCGTAGACTCTGGCAGTTTATTATAGAATCTTACGCAATTACCATAAAATGAATTACTAACTTTGTGTAGACGGCATTTAGGTAAAATTAGCTTATTTTTATTGCGTAAGTTTCTACTTGTACAGTCTTTAAGTTTCTTGAAACTATCTAAGTTTTTCCTTGTATACATAATATTTTCATAAATGTACTGTGAGGCAACGGTGAGGTTTGTGAATATTGATGGATGTTTGTTACTCTTTCACGCAAAAACTACTGAATGTTTTTATGAAACAGTCAAATAGCTTATACATCAGAATAACATATAGGCTATAAATTTCACGCAGGCTATTTCATTTCAGTATATTATATATTCACAGGTTTTACGTATTTCTATAGAAGGTATCCACCACCAAAGTAATTCTTCTATAGAAATAATATTTTAGTGTAATATACACATATAAATGTATATTGGTGTAATATGTACCTTATGTTACTTACTAAATATAGTTTTACCTGAAACGATTTATATTTGATGAGTTCCTTCAGCCTATCTACAATGTATAAGTAGCCATCTTCATCAAAATATCCAATATCACCAGTTTTGAAGAAGTCCTCCTCATCGAATGTATCTTTATTATCAACACCTAAATATCCCTTCATTAGCATAGCGCCTTTTGCACATATTTCCCCAGATTGATGTGGACCCAACACCTTTCCAGTTTCTATATCTACAATCTATAACAATAATATTTAATAATTTAATTTTAAGGTATTATAATATATTTCCTCGAAAGTAATCAAGTCTGAAATTAAAATATTTTATTCAGAAATTATCAATGATCATTATTAACATCTATATCTAGAAGCCTCTAAAATCTAAATTACTTATTTCCAAACTCACGCAGAATATATTTTTTTAAATAAATGTTAACATTGACTGTACTGAGTATTGTTGTAATATACATTCTAGAAACGGAAGGGAATGTTTGAAATTTTTTAAGACTTATGTACATACGGTCAAGTATATAAATTAATTTATATTTTATCAGATTAGATGTCATTTTGCAGAAGTTCATTTTATTACTTAATAGATTTATATTACTATATTTTGTATAATTCCACTATCATTAGCATACGTGTAAATATTTACCATCAGATCGCTCATGTGCTTGTTTACCACCAACGTGGTATAAAAAAACTAACCTTTACAACCGTACAAGGGATAACCTTTCCATTACTATCAGGTTTCTTCAGTACACCATCGATGTTTTGATTTACGGCGATGGCTATTGTACATTCGGTCATCCCATAACCTTGCACCACGCCGGGAATTTTAGGAAACCTGAAAAATTTGTTAGCGATATTTAACCCGTTGAACTAATCTGCGCTTTTTTATCGTGTGGAAATATCTTCAAAAGGTCATCACTCCTCCTGAGCGTTGACGAGGGGATGTGCAGGTTTCTTACCTACTGCACGGTTTATCTACGAGAGCCATTGCCGGTGTCACGAGGTCGTGTCAGCATAACTTCTCTTTTCTCCATCGGCGTCATTTGTATATGATAATGGAATGATGCACCCGCCGGTGCTAACGGTTTACGCTGGCGAGGCACCAGTGGAGGATGATAATATGAGCATGTGATAAATCACCAGGAATTTATCAGGATGGTTTCCAGATGGAACAGCGTGATCAAGCTAATATGGTACATTGGTAGCAATGTGGCTATTAGTTCATATTATTAACGATCTCCTGACCCCTATACTATGTGATGACAAAGGGCAGGTTAGAATTATATTTTATTGTACCTTTCTTGGGACATTTGAGCGACATCCTTGTGCAACGGCGAGGCGGCGCATAATATTGTATCCACTGAACTGACGTCATATTTACTTACTGCTTTATTCAACGCCACCAATACTGCTGGTACCAATAACAGTTGTTTTATCTGAAAGAATATTTTTTATGTATGCATACGGCCCACCTTATAGTAAGTGATTGAAATTCAAATTAATTTATTCCTGTGGTATATTTTCGATTGCTTATGATTGTCAATTTTATCACTATTTGTAGTGTAGTTGAGTGTACCAGTTTAGCTAGCTACTTCCGTTGAGAGGAATTGGCAAGAAAATGAACTGGTATATTTATTATATTATATCGGTATACTGTAACACAGGTTTCTTTCCATTCTCTTATTTTTATATTTACAAGATTTTTGTTGTTGTTTATTGTTAAAAATGTAAATACAAATAGAATAGAATGGAATAAATAAAAAAAATTGTGTGCAATCATGCTTTCTAAAACATGCAGATAGGTAGTTGTGTAGTAGCTGGAGCATAGACATTTCGAAATATATAGTTGAATGCGATGATGATTCATCCCTTGTACTCGAGAACAACTGCTACTCTACTGGGCCTGATCCGCTCTTGTCACTCTACTATTGTGACTTCGTGCTATTTTATAGTTTACATTCCTAAAATATAAAGATAAACAAAATTTATTTAAAAGAGCAACAACCAAATTTCTTGCCCATTCATCTAAATAACTAAATCTACTACATCATATCTACATTTAAAAAAAAACGATAGATCAAAAGCAATTACGTTTATTTGAATAAAGATGACTTCTATTTTTATTTCAGATAGTATCCATTACTCTTACCTTATATTTTTCTATAGTCTTTAAATACAGATCAATGTCAAATCTTGGCAGATAAATTATGTTACTCTGTGCCGCAACCAAGTTGACCAGACATCCCACTAACCCCATAGCGTGGAACCATGGGGTAATGACAAGAGTGCTAGCTCCAGTGAATTTTAACACCCTTAAAGAAAATATAAATAATTAACAATAATAATAAACTCTTTATTGAACCCATAGAAGAAATACAGCAAGAAAAACAATAAGTAGAAAAATAATAACAAAAGACGGTTTTATCGCTATAAGCAATTTCTTACAGACAACCTGTAAATAGGACTCTAGGAATCTTGAGAAATCTCTTCCAGACAATTTTTGAGTAGAGAAGAAAATACAGAAAGGTAAGTAAGTCTCTCTAAACTACTTACGATGCAGAACAAGCGAAAACAGCATTAGCATGTGTGATCATCACTCCTTTCGGTAATCCAGTGGTTCCCGATGAGTACATTATAAACAATAACTCATCAGTTCCATTCTCAACATCCACCACTTCAAACTCTTCATATCTCACGTTCCTTGTCAACTTATTCCCAACAACCAATTCGACTCCACCATTAGAGGGTGTTATTAATTCTTTATACATTGAAGTATTTTGTATGTTCTCGTCTCCATACAATATTATTCGCACCAGACTTCCAGTTGTATGGAATGTTTTCCCATGGATTTTATATGCAATTGGTGAGCATATTAGATAGTTAGGTTTGGATATACTGAGTACATGTCTGATTTCAGCTGTGGAAATAATCATTTGTTTATGTAATGACTATAATAGCTTGATTTTATACTACGATGGTGCCTATTAAGCATACGGCCCATCAGATGGTAAACGGTTACCGTAAGCTGTGGTAGCTTGAAATATCAGAGGAATTACGTGCGCGTTTGTGACCTTTAAGAAACCTTAATATACTATCTTGAAAACCTACTTACCTAATATTCTACCTTTACATTAAATTTTATTATCTAATATTGATTCAGCTGTGAAACGAACAAACAGATAGATGCGCTTTCTTATTTATAATATAGGCTAGTGTCTATACGTATACTTTGAAGAATGTTTAAATTAAATAAAACTTTAGATTAAATTAAATTAAAATTTTAAAAGATTAGATTAAAACATAATTGATTAATGATTCAAAATATTAAGATGCGTTTTCTTTTTTAAACAAAATTAATTTAGGAGTATTCACATAACGCCATTTAGATTGATGCTAAGAAGAGCTTGAACTATGCACACTAAACTTAAACACTAACCAAACCAGTAAGAACAGTCTTACTTACGAATATAAATGTTGACATCATGCGAGAATTCGAACCCGCTATCATAAGGCGGTGTGCCAAGCGGATCACCGAGGTCTTATTATTAAAATATCATTTTTTTTTATTTACGTCTATATTTTAATACGTGAAGTAAAATCTTTGTACCCTTTTTAATGAAATTTGCACCCACGGATGAGTATGCAATTTCTAATAATATAATGCACACTTATATAGTTTATTATATAGAGAAGGAGTGCAGAACGCTAATATTTTCTTTTTACTTTATGCATAACAAACACATTAAATCTATAAGAGAACATTACATACACTACCATGTATTTGAAAGACATATTGTTTTGTTTATTGTTAAAGTCTATGGTCAAATTGAGTAATAGACTTTGACAATAGAGCCTTATTTCAAACATAATATAAATTAATTATGGTCGAATTTCGACCACTGGGAGACCACTAGAATACGTAAATATACTAACCGGTCCCGTATGTAGGATTGTAAGGCGTGAAGATAGCTCCAGTACATATAACACCTAGCATTGTACCCCAAAATTCATCTCTGTTTTCAGTACACACAGCTACTACATCTCCTTTACGCACACCTAGGTGAGTAAGAGAGACGGCTAGATTCATCGCTTCTTGAATAATTTGGCCGTATGTCACAACGTTCCCGGTTGCACCATTTGTCTGAAAAAAAAAACATTTCATACCCATATAATAAGGGTTACTACGAATATGATAATTTTTTATATTTAGCGACATCCACTAAATTAGGTTTCATTGTACAATTAATAAAAAAAATGCCTAAAAATTGTCCCAGATTATTCTTATAAATAAAAATAATAAACAAATAAATATTTATTTATTGTTTATTGTTAAGGTCAAATTGAGAATACATTAATATCGTGTGTCTTAAATATTATTTGTCCATAGTCTTTACCGATAGAACCTTAACACTGTTCAAAATCAGAATTTAAAATAATTAGGATACATTTCGACCACTACCTATTATTAATCTGAACAAGGTCGTAATTTAAAAAAACAAATGCAGGTCTAATGCAATCATTTTTTTAATATCTCTAATGAGATAAAGCAAGTAGAAACACCCAAATATATATATGAATTTGTAAACAAAGTAATTAAAAAATCAGATAGCTTCCTTAATCTCGGGTCGTTGGAATACACATTCAGTGACCTGTTATCATTACATCTCTTTTGTTTCGGTACAGTTATTTTCTTATCTCTTTCATATTACATTACACGTGTAACTAGTGATGTGACAATTCTATTTTGATGTATCGATAAATGTTTATTTGAAGGCTGAGATTTAATTAAGTAATTAATATCGATAAACTAATTTAACCATTTTATAGACATATCTATAAGTATCGTCATGCTAAAATGTTTACAGAACCGAGTATAATTAGATGATGATGATAGATCCTTATTAACAACTCTTGCTTTATTCATATTTATATTTTCCTCCGATCGATCCCCCGTCCAATTCAAACAGGCATCGAAATTACGACGGCGCAAACCGAAGTTCGAATCCCTAGCGGTGCCCTCAGACTAAAGTCGTATCTGTCAGGAGGGAGTTGACCTTCAGCTGCTCCAAAAGTCTTTCTATTGGTTTGGAGTGCCATCTGCACTCGCCCCCTATCATCCGGTGGAGCTGTAAAGGTCATCTGCGGCCAACAGCATTAGAGTAATCCAAATAAAAATGATATAATTCGTCTATATCATTCGTTTATATTGACGAGGTAGACTAGACTTTGTAAAAAGTCGTCTGTGTAAAGTAAAAAGTATTTTTTACACATTTCAGCCACCTTGCAGCTTGCTTTATAAGTGGTTTTAATTGAAAGGTCAGATATGGGAGTGAAATTACAGGATAAGAGGCGTGACCTCTTAATCCTCTGGACTGATATCCCATGTGATGGGTATCACATGGTAACGTAATGTTCGTAGTTGCTGTTCATGTTGCCAGTACATTCAGGCGACGGTTACCACTTACCATCAGATGGGCCGTCGACTTGTTTGTTGTTATAATTACATAAAAAAACATTAAGAGCGAAGAAGAAGAAGCATAAAATGTTAAAGGAAAATCATTACGACTGACTAATATTTTGACTCTAATGAATTTGTGCTAGTTGGTATTAGTTTGTATTTACACTTTTTAACTTAAAAATGTCAAGTTACAACAATTATCTGCAAGAATAACATGCAAGTTTCTTGCTCGTTCTTTTTGTGATGCTAGATAGCTTTCCGAATTAAAATTCTTTAAATTCCGAAAAAATAAATAAGAATTCTATTCAAAAGTGCATAAGTTTAAGTTTATTTTAGGATGAAGAATTTTCTGTTTCAGTCCATTATATACTACTATATGGAAATTGCATAAAATGCTAGATGCACATGCACATCATTTAATATTTCATCATTTTATATACATTATTAAAGTACTTACGATAGCTGTTTTTTCCTTTATTCCATTGAATTTGTCTAGCAGGAAAGAGCCTAGGTTCATATTGGCTGGCACCAAAACGTCAGTAGGACCATACCAGTAATTTTGTTTCCTAGGCATTTTAAAAGTTTATCACCAGTGTCACTGTAATATTGATAAAAAACGGAGTTATTCCTATTTTTAAAACTAATATATATATATATATATATATATATATATATATATATATATATATATATATATACATCCAATTGGGCATTATGCGATCGAAGTAGAAGCTAGAGGTATACCAGCAAAAATTTTAAAATCTTTTAAAAGATATTGGCCTGTCTAGAACTGCAATGGGATCTATACTAGAACATGTATCTAAAACTGCCCTACCAGACTCCTATCAGATTTAGCTGAGCAGTGAGTGTGAAGGTGAGAGTTACGTACGTCGGCACAGCCTAGAAGCCCGGGTCACAAGTACCTGGAACTGCTCGAAGTTTCCCTCTCTACCACATGATGGACCCTACACCAGCACGGAAAATCCATGCAACGCTAAGAAGCTCGTTTCCTTTTATGGGAATGGGCACTAAATTTTACAAATGATAAAAAAGATATTTCAGATCTACCATTCATGAATTAAAAAAAAAATATTAACAAATACTTAATGAATGACTTTTATTACCCTGTAACTCTGCACGCTGAATCCATGGAATGCTAAGAAGTTTGTCTCACGTGGCAATTATTTTACTGAGGCAGAATTTAAAAAATATTTCCGTGGGTATCACAGTTTCAACTATTTAACAGCTGGCAAGCAGCTTGCTTTATAAGACGTGTTTGGATTGACGGGAAACCCGTGAAATTACTGATATAATCACGACACCTTAATTTTAAAAAATGGCATTATATCAACGTCATCACCTGATAACGTGATATCAGTAGTGCTGTTTAAATTTATAGACGATGGTTACCGTTTACCATCAGTAGGGTTGTCTGCTTGGTTAGCATTCCAATGAAATAAAATAAACAATAGTTTATTTCATATGTAGTTTCGAAATTGTTTTTTTTTTTATAATTTACAAAACCAATTTATAGCATAGGATCGTGGTTCCCTCAGACTGAAGTCATATCTGTAAGGCAGGAGTTGGCCTTCAACCGTTCCGTCCTTCCGCAGGTTGGAAGTGCCATCTGTACTAGCCCTTACTTTCATATTTTCATCCCGTGCAGTTGTATAGGCTGCAGATGCAGCCAACAGTATTTAGAATAGTTCCAAAAATAAATATTACCAAAGAATCGTCAGCATATTTCTCCTGCAATTCACATAAAAAATCGATTTTGTTAAAAAAACTTACCCTTTTATAAATCTTGAAAATTAAAAATTATATTTGTCAAAAAACACGTAAATAGATATTATAGGTAAACGAATGAGGTTAAACAAAAATTAACTCAATTATAACAATCGTCGAATGGTTTTTTGCTTTAATTGAAGAGTAAGCTCGACCGAATATGATTTAAAATGAACCACTAATATACAAGTTACCTACGAAATGAGAAATAAAAATTAATTACTGCATGACTTAATAAACATACGGACGTTTATCGTTTAATATTTTTTAGTATAACCAAACATTTATACGTAATATGTGATAACGGTTATCAATTTGTTAATTTTGTTACATACTAGTTGAGCGTGCGACTATGCGTGTATATTTATTTGTACATGTCATCTATTAATAATGTATTAAGAATATTCTCAATTTTTTTTATCATTACATAGTATAAAACAAAGTCGCTGTCTGTCCCTATGTATGCTTAAATCTTTAAAACTACGCAACGTATTCTGAAGCAGTTTTTTTAATAGATAGAGTAATTCAAGAGGAAGGTTTATATGTGTAATACGTGTATATCCGTGCTGTGGTGGGTAGTTAAATAATAAAGGAATGATGGCGGATTTCGCTGGTGTTACACCAGTGAAGGATGATAGAATCGGTATGTTAGTCATTATTTTTAAATATTAGTGGACTGTAATCAATATTTGATTTCTCAAACAGAGACAAAATTTAGGAATAATGGACTTACCTACTTGGAATTGTGATTGCTGGAGTCTACATTTGATTTGTACTTGATTCAATTAATACAGACGATACCACAATTTTTTTTTTGGGTCGACTCCAATATCTTTGGCTGCAGCTGGCCTTTACAGCTTCACCGGATGATAGGGGGCGAGTGCAGATGCCACTCCAAACGGCGGCTGAAGGCCAACTTCCGCCTGACGGAAACGACTTTAGTCTGAGGGCACCGCTAGAGGTTCGAACCTTTGCTCAGGGCGTCGTAATATCAATCCCCGTTCGAATTAGACGGGGGATCGATCCGAGAGGTCGATACACAGAACACCAATGGGTCGATACCACCAATATTACAATAACCGCCACTTGTTTATAGCCTTCCTGATATATATGTATTATATGACCTCCATTAAAATTTTTGTTCTTATTTAATTCTAAAGTTCTTTCGCTAATGACAGCTGTCTTGCCATTGGCCAGTCAGGACAAAGGATAGGAAAGAGCGGGAATTTGAAAATGCTTGATCTAACAGTCATTCCAGTTAGACCATCGTGGCCAATTCGCCAGGATTGTAACAAGATGGTTACATTCTAGAGGGAACACGTGAAAGTCAAGCTGACATGGTACAAATGCTCACGTGACTACAGGAGGAGTCACGTGAGCATTGCCGATCTCAGGCGCCAATAGTCTATGGTAACCATTTACCATCAGATGGCCCGTATGCCATATTGCCACCATAGTAGTATAAAAAAAAATATATAGGTGACAGTCACCATTTACCATCGTATGTGCCGTCAGGTTGATATATTTATATAGAAAGAAAGGAGTTCCTGAGAAGAATGAGTATTTCGCTATTTAAACAAACAAACCTACATTTGATTAACCTTGTATTGTAACAAGATGGTTACATTCTTATTTTTTGATTATGCTATTTTATCGTATGTAAAGATATGAACACGTGAAATATAGTCAAGCTGACATATATGGTATAATATAATTATTATTAATTTAATTATTATTTATTAAATTCAATACTAGCAGTGAGGCCAATATTCCGATAATTGTTGCTCAAAATTGATGTCAAAAATGCATTCATGCTCAAATAAAACGTGACTACCCAACAAAATTGTTATATCGTTCTAGGAGTCACGTGTCAGCCCCTTGGGCCTGCAATTTTTAGTTTGGCTATAAATCCGATAATAAAAAATCTCAAATTTAATGTTTGGTATTTGGACGACGGATCTCTGGGAGGTGATGTGGATACTGTGTTTTCGGAAATCAAAAATAAATTTGAAGTCTATGGTAACCATTTTTATAAATAACCATCAGATGGCCCGTATTAAAATAGCCATATTGCCACCATAGTAGTATAAAATTAAAATATATAGGTGACAGTCACCATTTACCATCGTATGTGCCGTCAGGTTGATATATTTATATAGAAAGAAAGGAGTTCCTGAGAAGAATGAGTATTTCGCTATTTAAACAAACAAACCTACATTTGATTAACCTTGTAATATTAGTATATTCTGTAAAAATTTCATCCAAATATCTCCGAAGTTGCGAGTCAGAACTCTTAACATAGCAACAATTATTTTTTGCCTCGTCACGATTATGCTATTTTATCGTATGTAAAGATATGAGACTATCTGTGCACCGCGGTTTTACTCATATAGCGACAGGTTATGGATTTCGCGTTTAATCCTTGCGTTCTTAATAATGACTTGTATATATGTACTTGTTATAATATAATTATTATTTACATTTCTTACATTCCATTCATGATTACATCCATTCTTCTCTTTTCTATCCAATGGTTATTTGGAAGAGACCACTTAAGCGATAAGACCGCCTCTTCCTTCATACTCTATAAATTTTGTTTATTTTATTGTATTTTGTCTAGTGCATTAAAGAAGAATAAATAAATCAATTAATTAAATTATTTGGTAGTGAGGACATATAGACATTTTATCATAAATTAAAGTCCCAAAATTTCTGTAGTTTTTATATAATTGATTAATATTGATAATTACAGTAGGTGTATATAACATGGTGTTTGTGTAGAGTATATAGAGACAGAATATAGAAGAAAAATCTAGTTAATTAATAAAAAAAAGTAGATGGCATCTTTAAAAAAGTACAAAAATTTATTAATTCTCTTCTTTGAGGAGTATTCTTTTTAGATATCTTTAGCTTATATATTGATCCATATATACAAGATATTCTGCTAAAATTACATCATAATTTCTTTAACCGTTTTTACGAAAAAAACAAACAAATGAGTAGTTTTCGCTTACATAATATTACAATTGTATTATAAATGTAAATATATTTATTTTATATTACGTTACAATAACAAATATCACAGTTTACTGTGGCTGTTGGCAATTTTCCGAAGTTCTCTCCTTAGAATTTTACCACTCGGATTCTTTGGTATTTCTAACACAAATTTCACCCCACCTCGCAGACGTTTCGGGTTCGACAACTGAAAGAAAAGAATATTGATATATAATTAATTATTATTATTAGTATATATATGTCATGTTAGTTTGTATAATATTTTGTAGACCAAAAAGTTGTATACATTTTATCGATTTATATAGGTACCTAATGGATTTATATTATTTTGTTTAATACGAGTATTAGTATGTTCGGAAACCTGACCACCGCTACTGGAAGCGTTATGAATTTGATCACCACTAGAGAAAACCATAACACTTCTAGTAGTGGTGGTTACGTTTCCGCACTGAATATTTGTGTTTTCATAAACGGATGATGATTTCCATGTTAGTGGAATTAAACAAAATTATATAAATTTATTAAGTATTATAAAGAGTTGTCTGCGTGGGTTCCTTAGTGTCTGCTATATCAGCCATCAAGCAGCTTGCTTTATAAGCTGTGTTTCAGTTGTAGAGTCAGATTAGTGAATGAAATACATGATAAGTGGCATGACATCTTAGTCCGCCGGAATGGATGACAACGTGTTTTCCACATTACTATTCATACATATATAGTCGACGGTTATGACGACGGTTAGTACGACGGTCAATTCGTTTGTCATTCCTTAAATTCACATACTTTTATTAAAGATTAGTTAAGGAGTTTTGGAGTTTATTCCAGATAAGCATCGTGATACGAGATATTAAGAAATGAACGTACCCTTTCAGCGACGAAATCTTTCAGTTCTGTATCTGTAACCTCTTTCCCTGGTTGTTTGACCACGAAAGCTACTGGAACCTCCCCACTCTCTCTGTCTCTTCGTCCAACCACGCCGACGTCTCTAACCGCCTCGTGTTGTAACAACAATGCTTCTATTTCGGCTGGTGCTACCTGTAATAAAAAATTTTTTTTTGCAGTAATCTATAAAAAAAAACTAATGACTGTCGAAAAAAAGGTGTCCGTTTTTTTGGCCTACTCTTATAGAACGGCTGAAGGCCAACTCCCGCCTGACGGATACGACATTAGTCTGAGGGCACCCTAGGTGTTCAAACTTCGGCGCAGGCCTCAATATTTTCGAACCCCGGTTAGAATTGGATGGATAAGAAAAATACTATAATGGCACCGCCGTCGGAGTCGCGATGGACTGTCATTCGATTCTGCAACTCCGGTATACGGGTTGCGAATGAGGGACATCTTCGAGTTTTTAGTGAGTAGGAGTCTAACAGTATCCGTTTTCCTGAGGTACAGATAAGATAATATTAGTAATATTACATACCTGAGGTGAGGTGAGTATGAGAAGTATCATGGGCGTCATATGATGATGTCATGTTTGTAAATGCTTATGTGTACGGTTACCACTTACCATATACCGTATGTAGGTGGGAATGTCAGTCTCTTTGCCGTTTCAGATACATAAACGAATGAAGACCTCGGAGCTTATATTTAACGTTTAGCAAACCCTTTACTTCCGCTTGTCGCGGGTTCGATTCTACGCACGACACAAATATTTCTTTTAAATAATAATAATAATAAAGACATTTATTCAGTATTACAGTATTATTATTTACTATACAACTTAAATGCTAAAACATATTAGTAACGCTGAATATTTTCTCTAACTCAGCATTTATACTGTAGTATAAATAAGTTATACTACAGCGCTGATTTTCAGTGTATGATTGTTTGTCTTAATATGGGTGTTATGTATATTATATATTACAAATTATATGTACTTCTACAAACTGTTTAGTATCCATAAGACAAGATAATCCGAGCTTGTTCGATCCCAGGCTGCTCACGGTATAAGATCTGCTTAGTTGGTTATTATTATAAAAAAAAAATGACGTACCTGATTAGCTTTGTATTTAATGAGTTCCTTCAACCGGTCGACAATAAAGAACTGTCCATCATCATCATAATAGCCAATATCACCAGTCTTGAAGAAACCTTCTTCATCGAAGTCTTCCTTCCGGTCCTTCCCGACGTATCCTTTCATGATTAGAGGACCTTTGAAGCACAACTCTCCAGGGTTATTGGCTCCTATCGGTTTTCTGGTTTCCGTGTCTACTACCTGAAATATAAATCATTTTGTATACTACTAACTGACGCGAGCAACTTCGTCTATTCAAAATTCTAAATTGAATTTTCAATTTCATTGCAGCTACGCTCCTATTGGTTATAGCGTGAAGTTATATAGCCTTTGACACTCACAAATAATGTGGCTTTCTATAGGTAAATGAAATTTCCAAATCGGTTTAACAGATCCAGAAATTCTCGATAAATGGGCTATCCAACACTAAAAATTTTTTGAAAATCGGTTCTGTAGTAGGTACCGGAGAATATCTGGAACATCCAAATTCCAAAATTTAACCTATTTATAATATTATACCTATCCTATAATAGTAGTCAACCAAAACAGGATAAGAAAATCCTGTTTTGGTTGACTACTTCTTGGTCTTTTTCTCTGTCGACTAAGGACTCAACTTCGATATGTCGATATTACTAAAAGACTTCTTTAATATTTTATCGCAAAAGAATATGCACCAAAATTAATCCAATATATTATAGTGCATATTTTTTTATAGCACAGGGAACAAACCAGCTTGCTGTATATTTAATGGTAAGTGATTACCATAGTCTTCATAGACTGTGGTAATCACTTACCATTAAATACCTGCAACACCAGGGAAAATGCAGGTGAGTTGTAGGCATTTTTAAATGGAGTAGAGGAAGGAATTAGTAGAGAGATATGTCGAAGGAATGAACATCTGGAATAGAAATAATCTTTATTCAAATAAACTCATTATAAGCACTTTTGAATAGTCATATTTTGATTCTACCACTCATTCGGAATGCAGATTCATCACAAGAAGAATGAGCAAGAAACTTGTGTGTTGCTCTTTTTAATAGATGTTTTTTTTTATATAAAGTAATTACAGTATAACAAGTAAGAGGCATGCGATAATCAACATAGAAGTCGTTACGCACTCATTATTAATGTAATCAGATAATATTGTCAGTGCTATAGATTTAAAGTTTTTCTATAAAAATCTTGAATCTATGTAGAATCTAGAATCTTGACTTAACTGCGGTATTCTGAAGAAATTTTATATTTCCCTGTTGTGCTACATGATACATGTGTTTATACAGCATTCTATACTTAAAAGGATGTAATATTTAGTAGTATACAAAGAGACACGTACCTTTGCTATAGTATTAGGAACTATACTTCCCACGCTGCCCGGTTTGGCGAGATGGTAGTTTTCGTAATCTGCAGAGACTACTGCCAGTGTACACTCCGTCATACCATACGCCTGGACCACAGCCTCTAAGTTCGGAAACCTGATGGTAAATTAATTAGATTATTTTATATAGCTGCAATAACAAATTTGACTACCTGATGGCAATGGTAACAGTCGCCTTTGTAATGTAATGTAATTTGGACTCTATTCCCCGCATTTAGACTCTCATCTGGGCAGTTCTGTGTGTAGAGCCGAGACTACTAAAGTAGCCAGCCAAGCTCTTCCCTAAAGCGAAGCCTCCTAGTCCCTTAATAGGCTTCATGAAGCGACCTCGACCTCGATCTCGACCGTTCCGAGGATTTGTGTACGTTGTGTGACCACTGTTACGCACTACAAGATTACGTGAGCGGCTGTTACTTAGGCTTCAAAGCAACCCGAACAAAGATAACTGTCTATAGCAAGTAGTAGAAGAAGTGGCTGTAACCATTGCCTATATACATGAACTGCATCATGGATATCACGTTATTATGTGACATCCGTGATACCACTTGTACGTTGTCATTCCAGAATATTAAGAGATCATCCATCTTGTAATTTTGATGTTATATCTCATTATATATCTCCTTATATACATGGATGAATTTACTAAAAGTGCGCCTGGATAGAATAATAACCATAGACAATTCACACAACGCCAACTATTATAGTATCTAACTATACAGAGCTTGTGCTAAAGGTTAACAGCTGATAGGAATATCTAAATACATTTTTTTTTATAAATAAATCTCTCAGATCAAATGATAAGCAATGAAACATTTATTCCGATTCATCAATCCAACCCACGACCATCGGAAGATAGTGTGCTTATTAACCTCTAGACCACAAAGGTCATCAAGAAGATCGTCATAACTGATATACCTACTTTTTTTTCACGATACTAATAGTATCATTCTGCAGCGGTGCTGCTCCAGATGCAATAATACGGACAGAGCTGAGATCATAATTCGCTGTTGATTTACATGCCGCTGTTAAAATAGGGGGCACCACACTCAGCCGAACAATCTGGAATAAAAATTGTTAATGATAATTAAATGGCGCATCCACCTGCGTAACCGGTTTACGTTGGCGGGACACCAGTGGAAGATTATAATATGAGCATGAGGTCAGGTCAGTTAGCCCATCGTGATAAATTCACTTGGAATTTATAACGATGGTTTCCAGGGGTAACCGCATGGTGGTCAACCTAACATGGTACATTGCTAGCAATGGGGTCGCCCCTTCTCTGCTGGGTAGTGCGATGGTGATAATTATCAGCTGATATTAATTCGAACAATTCCTCAGAACATTCTCCGAGATATATGGGGTAAGAAATGCACAGAGATGCAATGTCTGTCTTAATGCTTCGAATTTGTGGCAAATATACGTATTCTTGCTGCTCGATTTTGAATGCGGTCTAATAGAAGTAACGTGTGCAGGTGAAGGTTACCACCTACCATCTGGTAAATTCTCTGCTAGTTCGCCATTTTAATTTCATAAAAAATCTAGTCAATTTTTAATGATAATTAAAAATTCTCTCACCTTATATTTTTCCACAGTCTTTAAAAACAAATCGACCTCAAACCGCGGTAGAAACACCATAGTTTTACCTACAGTGAATGCTGATATAAGTCCTATAAGCCCCATAGCGTGGAACCACGGTGTTAAACTGAGAGCTAACAAGTCTGATTTTCCAAACTTATTCCTAAAAATAGAGATAAAAATAAACTCTAATTAATAAAATAATAAATATGCAATAGCATATGCTGGTGGTCGCTCTAATCTCCCAAATTTGAATTTCAAAATGAATCTGTATTATTGTAAACATGTAGAACATTTATTTGAAAAAAAAAAAAGATTACGAGCTGAGTTTCGTTTCAGTTCTTCTCATCTCGAGAGGTTTGAGGTTATTCAAGAAGGGTATATTAAGGTTTCTTAAGGGTCGCCAACGCGCACGTGGAGTACACCAGGGATGATCCCTGTTGTATCAGACGTCAATAGAATACGATGACGATTTACCATCAGATGGGCCATATGCTTGTTTGCCATCATGGTAGTAAAAAACGATGCAAACGTGTGTATTCATGAACATAATATAATTAGTAAATCACGGGATGTTACCACGTTTTATTTTCGTTGAGTTCCCTCAACTTAAGGAAAACTAAAAAAAGGAACTCAACAAAAATAAAACGTGGTAAGATCCCGTGATTTACTAATTATACTTATAAATAATGACCGCGTCAAACTTAAAACAATTCATGAATATGATGTGAGGAAACTACGATACACACAATTTTATTCATGAATATTATTGTTTGTATATAAAAATAAATTAAAATTACTTACACATGACAAAAAGTGAGTACATTATGATGAGTCAACATAACTCCCTTCGGTAGACCAGTGGTCCCTGATGAGTATAATATAAAAAGCACATCAACTTGTCCAACAATATCCACAGCTTGAAATTCCTCTATCCTCACATTCCTTGTTAAACGTTTCCTCACAACTAGATCAGTTTCACTACTGTCTGTAGGAAACGCCAGATCTTTATAGAGAAGAAGTTTGCCAGGCCTGTTATCTCCAAAAACTATTATCTCCTTAATATAAGAAGATTCCTTGAGAGTTCTCACGTGTTTCTTGAAGAAGAACGGAGAACAAAATACGTATTTCGGTTTTGATATGCCGAATACGTGCTTCAATTCACCTGAAAAGTAATGAAAGAAATAAGTACCTACTAATAATGTCACATTACTTAAGTATATAAATACATTTATTTTTGTAGACACATACATAGAAATCACCCAGACTGATACAAACAATAATACTTATAAATACTGTTTGTATCATCGTTAGCACAAGTGGCTGTACCAATGCATTATACATGCAATGGTACAGCCACTTGCGCTAACGGTATACGCTGGCGGAGCACCAGTAAAAGATGTTAGGATGAGCATCAAGTCAGTCAGTTTTGCCCATTGATGCGAATTTTCCAGAAATTTATCACGATTGTTTCTAGGGCTGCGTGGAAGTCAACCTGACATGACATTACATATTAACAATCCCTTACCACTCATTATTCATACGTTTAATATTTCTTTAGCCACCTATAATGGATGAGTTTACAAAAAATATATATACAGTTTTGGTCCTTAAAAAATATGTGTCGACTCAGGTTATAACGTTCGTATCTTGTTTGATAAATTATGAATGAAAAACTAAAGTCCACATTAAATTGCTAGTTTTGGTAAACTATAAAATACACAATTATGTAGTTATATACAATGACTTGACCTTTTCAATAATACCGACGTAAATATCTTCACATAGTATAAAACAAAATCATAGCCGCTGTCTGTTCGCCTATATGTTTTACATTACGCAACAAATTTTAATGCAGTTTTCAGCAATAGGTAGAGTGATTCAAGAGGAAGTTTATATATGTAATATATGCATATTATAGTATAAAATAAACCGAGAAATTCAATGATTTGAAATGTTCGGGCGGCTCGCTAATTTCATATTATAAACAAAGTTTCCGCCGCTGTCTATTCTATATTTTTTAAATTACGCAATGGATTTTGATGCAGTTATTAGCAAAAGATAGAATAAATCAAGAGAAAGGTTTATATGTATAATACTATACATAACACAAGCTCTGCCTAGCTTGGGACTAGATGGCGCTGTGTAAATTGTCCTGCGATATAATTATTATTGAAAATAAAAATAGAAGTTGATAAACAGTAGAACGGGGAGACTATTCCTTTGTGAAGTTGGTTATAAACTTGTTGTTATTGTTTTATTGACGCTGTACTACTTTATCTTATCAGGCAACTGTCTGGTAACACGAGATACAGTTGGGTAAATAGATAAACAAATATAAACAGTACATAACAGCGCATATGCAGGCATTGACATTATTTATGATTTATTTCATTGACCGCCACGATGGTCTAGCAGTTTTAATATACCGCCTCACTTAGTCGCAGGTTCGATTTCTCGCACGTTAAAATATTTGTATTCAGTACATATATATGATGTGTTATTATTTTTTTTTTTCTATATAGCTATTGTCAGGTGCCTACACCTGTAGCACTACAATTTACATATATCTATTATGCTCGACTTTTTTCAAAGTTCGCTACAATTTATTATATTTATAACAATATTGTCTTTATTATGTACAAGAATATGTAAGAAACAATATTACGTTAGTGAATTACAAAGGGCGGTTTTATTAAGCAAGTCTTACAGATAACCTATATACATATTTATATAAGAATAATTGTATAATTAAATATAATTATTACGTTTATAATATAATAAAGTTATAGAAATAGACAAATTATGTATATAATAATTTATATATAGAATTTTATTAATATTTAAATAGTAATTGAGCTGAGAACGTCGTGGATCAGTAGTTATCTCTTTTAGAGATAAGTCCACCTTTACTCATTTTGTACATAATTAAGATTACTACTGTTTTGCAAAGTACAATAAAAAAACATATTACTTAGTTTTACATCCGATGGTAGCGGGTTCGATTCCTCGCACGATACAAACATTTGCGTTATTGAATATGATTGTATGTATCGATCTGGGTATTTTACTATGTATGTATTTACAAAAATGTATCTAAGACTTTATATCAGATGTCTAGTAACCATATCCTAAGCTTTGCTTAGCTTGGGACTAGATGGCGTTGTGTAAATTACCCAAGGATATTAAGACTTCTTAAGGGTCGGCAACGCGCACGTGATACCTAGCGTTACAGGGGCCCATAGGCTACGATAACTGTTTACCATCACATAGGTCGTATGCTTGTCTGCCACAGTTACATAAAATAATACTATTATTATTATAGGTCGTATCTTCGAATCTGGACATCATAATAAAAAAGTTATATGGGCCCATATTTATTTCCAATTTATTCTTCATTAATGAAAAAGCAATGGTTTACAGCTCCACAAGTAAGATTATCAGTATTATGTTCTTATCATTAATATCTTAACAGCAATCATAGATAGTTGTATGTACATATTTAATTTATAATCTGCAAGTACTATTAGAGATAGCCTATATACAAGTTATCTATGTTAGATGAGCGGCACTATACAATCTACTTCATAGATAAGAAATGGTAATGCACATGCAACCATTTTGCAGCCTTTGGAAATATACTTAAACGCACTATTAACCACTTAACTACTGCACACTCAGTTGTAAATTCGTTTAGAGCTGTTTCGGTTTAGCGCTCCTTTATTTCATCGCGAAAATTTCCAGAATATCTGTTTGTTAAATTTTTAATACTTAACTAATTTTCTACCCATCTTCTCCTAACCCCGTTATTTATATGTTAAGATAGCCTCGTTACGCTGTTTCGTTTAGAGCTGGAACTTATTGGAACGTATCCCCCACGTGAAGTATGATTTTACTGTATTTTTTTATGAATAAAATTATATAGCCCTCAGATCGATCCCCCGTCCAATTCAAGCGGGGATCGAAATTACGACGACCTGAGCCGAGGTGCGAACCCCTAGCGGTGCCCTCAGAGTAAAGTCGTTTCCGTCAGACGGGGTAAGCCTTCAACCGCTCCACAAGTCCTTCCGCGGGTTACTGTACCCCCTCAAGAGTAAAATTGTAAATACTTTTGTTGTTAACTTTGATGGTCACATTTATTTAAATTTAATCGACAGCCTAAAAAAATAAGTTTCAACTAAAAATGACGATATTTCTATACAACATTTTAACTCCCCTTTCAACCCCTTACATCCCTTTTTAACGCATTAAAAAGTAGGCTATGTACTTTCGTGTGTATCAAATTTCATTTAAATCTATTAATATTAACTAAGACTTATAATAATTATTTTTATCTAAATATGTATATAATTAAACGTGGAGCCCACGCCCCACAGATGGGCAATTTAATTGTAAAGGGGGGTGGGGGGAGGGGCATTTCGAAAATTGACTCTTTATTAAAATTATATGGAATGTGAATTTCAATGTATTGAAAAATTTTTTACTGTTTCATTAACAATTACCTCGTGATTTCTTCTTAAAACCAATTATTTAAGTTTCTTAATCATTAAAATTTTTGATGTTATAAATATTAGGATTTTTTTTTATTAAGAATTTTAAACAGACTAAGGTGAGGCATGGCATGGCACAAAAAAGGTTGGGAAACACTGGTCTGTTTCTGACAAAAAAACGCTGTTCGCAACCAAATCAGTGCAGGGATTTACCATCCTCATCACCGTTATCAACCATAAAATACATATATGACTTAATCATATCAAGATATACATATCATAACAATGTTATCTGTTATGATATGTATATCATGAATTAATGTCATTCAATCAATTATTGATAATCATCATGATATATGTGAAAATATAGCTTCCAATCCAAAATATACTTTACTTGCGGTGTACATAGGGTTGACAGTTGTAACGGTAGCTCCACAGCAAGCTGCACCAAAGAGGGTAGCCCAGAATTCCTTTCTGTTTTCCGAACATAGTGCCACCGTTTGTCCCTTTCTCAAACCTTTAAGTGCGAGCGAGACAGCAAGGTTTAATGTCTCTTGAGCAAGTTGTCTGTAAGTATATACTTCTTCGTCGATTCCATTGATCTGGAAAGTACAAATTTATATGTTACTAGTATGATAGGTGAGCTGATGGCTCACTTGATGGTAAGTGGTAACGGTCACCTATATCACAGATAACATAATATTTACATGAACAGTACAACAGATATTGTTGAGAGCGTGGACTGTGGGTTGTTGATGATAAAAACACCTTTGCTGGACCAAACAATTTATATTTAAATCACACAGGAATTTAATTACACTACGCAACATTCAACGTTCAAGACAAAATCGTGGAAACCAGAGAGAAAAAGAATTCAATGGTGCCACCCTCTGGTACTTATGCATTGCTATTATCATAGACTCAAACATAAAATTATTATTTATTGCTAGCAACGGATATCACGTCATCAGTTAACACCCGTGATACTACCATGCGTGTAGGGGCTTATTAGTAATGTAGACTAATGAACCCAAATAAATTACTAAAAATGTACTATGTTAGGTTGACCTCCATGTGGTCCTCCCTGGAAATCATCTTTATGAAACCTCATGTTCATTGTGTCATCATCCACAAGTCCGGCCAGCGTAAAACGTTAGTGCAAGCGGCAGCATCATTCCATTATTATCAACTATATACAATATCTATAATAAAAATAATAACCTGGGACACTAGACCCAAGCTAATCGTAGCTTGTACTATGAGTACTCGATAACTGATAGAAATACTTAGACATACAATTTTTGTAAATACATACAAACATTGTAAAATCTTTTGTACTGTCTTCTGTAGCCCTAATAGTAGATTTTTCACTATCTATAATAATATTATCAATGATAACCCACGACAATAGTCCGAAGCTAATCAGAACTTGGTTATGTGTTATGGGCACTATACAATATATAACTAATAGAAATACTAACATGTATTGTTATAGACATACAAAATTTATAAATACATACAATGTATACAAACAAAACACCAACGAATCATGAATACAAATGTGTGTACTGTGCGAGGAATCGAACATACGTCCACCGCTAGACTACAGAGGTCATCTTATGTGACCCTACAACTGCAACACAACATACAAAGCAAGTTGCTTCGCTTCATTGATACAAAATATTTGCAATGTTCCAGTAAAATATATACATTGTTATAGAACTCGTCAGACAAGTACCTAATTGTGTAAGAACATAAAATTAGTCACAGCGTCATAGCTGCTTTCGCATTTTTAATATTAATAAGAAGTGTAAATGGTATAAAATAAATAAATAAGGAAAAAAAACCGTATTACAACACATGTAAGCCCGTGAAATGGGCCCCTAGTTATTTATACCGCTAATCAATGGACAAATATGATTTCGTTTTGTCTATGGATCTTTATAAAATTGTTTTATTTACTTTGAAATCGGGCACTATTTGCCTATACCGATAATAAACGGACAAAAATTAATTTATGTTATCTATAGACCGTTATAAAATTGTTTTATTTACTTTAAAAGGGCCTACTAGTTGCTGATATAATAATAAATGGACAAAAATGATTTCATTTTGTCTATGGACCTATATAAAATTGTTGTATTAACTTTCTAATCAAAAATATATCCGTTCAAGGTCATCTTATTGTCAATTGATAATATAGTTGACCGTATTCAAAGCTAAGTGATTCGTAGTTCATGTTATTTTTTTGTAAAGTAATATTTTTGCTCTGTGTATGTCGACAACCTTTGAGCCTATGTTTCGTTCGCTGTGCCCGCGGTTCATCCGTGCGAAATTTATAGTCTATCTGTTATTCTGTTAAATAAGCTATATTACTGTAATGTTTCATCAAAATCAGTTCAGTAGTTTTTGCGTGACAGAGAAACAAACATCCACCCATCCATAAGCATAAACTTTCGCGTCTTCAATATTAGTAAAACATACATAATTTATACAAGTAAACAATTTTCAATAACTTACCAACGCCGGTGTGTCTCCTTGTTCCCAGAGTTTTTGTGTTATGAACTGTCCGAAGTTCAAATTCGTTGGCACATTTATAATCTCTGGACCGTACACATATAAAGGATTTCTGATCATATTTAAAACTTCAAATATCTTATTATTATGTACTGGAGCGCACTATACGCGGGCGTACGATATCGTTAGCAATGCTGACTGACTACATTCTGATTGTAGCTATATCTGTTAACTGTACGTACGTCATAAACATGAGAACGTCGTGGCCTAGTTCTTCACAACACGACTACTCAATGGTCGTGTGTTCGAATCTCGGCGAATAATAAAAATGTTTTGTCACTTTTTTTACTGCTTCTACTGTGTTATGTAATGTAATAATAACCCTGGACAATTGACAGCGCCATCTAGTCCTAAGTAAAGCAGAGCTTGTGTTATAAGTACTAAACAAATGATACCTAATAATTATTATTATTAAAAAAATATATAAAGACATTTTTGTGTGTTTGTACTAGTGGTCTAATGATTTAGCACACCAATTTACTGTCGATGGCGCGGGTTCGATCCTCTCATGATGCAAACCACAGATATATACATAATGCAAACATTTGTCCTCATGAGTATGATTGTTTGTATATATGTGTATTGTAAGTATGTTATGTTTTTTGGGAATGATAATGGAATGGTGCACCTGTCTACGCTAACGTTTTAGCTGACGGGGCACCAGTGGATATTGATCAGATGAACATGAGGCCAGGTCGTCAGTTAGCTCGTAGCAAATGGCAATTTACCACGACGGGGAATGAGGGGGAACTGCGGGAGGTCAACCTGACATGGTTCATTGTTAGCTGCTTAGCTTAAAACTAGATGGCGCTGTGTGAATGGTCCAGGTTTAATATAATATTGTTTCATTCGTACCTAATACCACAGATAACATATTATTACATACTAATACGTAATAAAGCTATGTTAATAATGTTAATTAGAATTCGAGTCGAGTTTGCACTTTAACCCTTTATCATTTAAATGAGTTATTATCCATTCAAGCAATAACGTAGTCCTTAGGTTGTCTGGAATTTATCGTTTTTTAGCGATGAGGCCGCCTCTTTCTAACCTTCTTCTTCTTCTCTCGTCATAGAATAATATGTTGTTATCTCTTGACGACCACGGATGGTTTAGTATACTATCTTACTTTTGAAGGTCGATGGGTTCGATTCCTCACATGCTATAAACATTTGGATTTATAAGTATAATTATTTATCGGTCTGGGTGTTTTCTATGTATAATATGGGATAATACTAGATGTCGTTGTGTGAATTCCCGAGTTTTAATTATTATTATTCACTTATACCAATTTTTTTATTTTACTTTTAATTTTAGTGTATTGAGGTAACAAATGTATAAATAAATAAATGTAACAAAAGCATATATGTGCGTTTTTAAGTTTAGTTTCAGTATATGTAGTTTCATATATTATGAGCTACGATACTTCGTCTGCGTGAAATTAACCATTAGCTATCAGCGAGTGAAAGTCCCCTGAAAATCGGGATAGCTTTTTCAGTCATTAGCAAAAAAGTTTTTATAATATTTACCGTATATACATTTATATGCATTTAATGAAAAGGTGTTAATTTGAAATTACAATCAGATATTTCAATTTTATTTATTCGCATATATATTAATATATATGTACATATGTATATGAATCACAGTTTGCTGGTAACTTTGGATACCATTTTACGTAACTCCTTTCTCAGTATCTTGCCACTGGGGTTCTTGGGTATTTCGGATACAAATCGAACTCCTCCACGAAGATGTTTCGGATTCGATAACTGGAAGAAAACATTTGTATTCATGAGTATGATTGTTTATCATGTATATTCCATAGTCTGGGTGTTTTCCATGTATATTGTATATGTTTTACCATTACAACTTTTTTATGTAACTTTATTACATGATAATAGAATGGTACACTCGTCCGCGCTACGGTCTACGTTTTAGCGCAACGTTTTTTTCCTTTAGCGCAACGTGACAATTGGTGAAGATATTCAGTGGATTATATAGAGTACCAAATATAATTTATTCTCGATATAAATCAGTTGCACGTTACACATCAACTGTTACTTAGCAACAGGAATACTTAGGAATTATTAACCGGGTCTTAACACGAATATTCGTGTTAATAATTTAAATAATGTATATTAAACAGGAAAGTTTAAAATTAACTAGGAATACTTAGGTATTACTTTCTTATGTATTACATATTAAATGTGATGGATTAGATTTTTTCTTCTAAAATCACTGAATATCTCCTACAACAATATCATAAGAAAAATATCTTGATGGATGGATGGAAATCAACCTGACATGGTAGATAGCTACCAACAGCCCACGTTACTAACAATCCCTTCATTTTTCTATGTTTATTATGTATGAATTTACAAAAAAAACCCGTCTACTCTGATGTCTAGTAGTAACCATAACACAAGCTCAGCTTAGCTCGAGACTAGATGGCGCTGTGTGAATTGTCCCCGGGTTATTATTATTATTATATAAGGATTAATTTTCTACCAACCCTTTCAGCAACGAATGACTGTATCTCCTTCTCTGTGACAACCTTCCCCGGCTGTTTCACCACGAATGCTAGTGGTACCTCCCCTGACTCTTTGTTCTTCAGGCCCACCACACAAGCATCCAATATTGCCTCGTGTTGCAATAGAAGAGCTTCTATCTCCGCTGGAGGGACCTAATAGAAGAAAATATACTCTACTAAATAAATCGTGGAATAGAGTCCTATTCACTAATGTAACCAAATCAAATCAAAAATTATAAAATTTTAGTTACTTATGCACGTCAAACTGTTTGTAGGTAGGTATATGTTTTCTCTGTCGTCCAGTTCAGTATACAGATTCAATTCAGAAGAACTGGCAAGAATCTCAACTGAATTTCTTTTTTTCTAAAAAGCCAGTTTATTTACTTTGTAGGTGTCTATGTCTAACATTAAATGAAAATTCCGTGCATGAAGAACTATTGTCATGCACGTTTGTCATTTAGTAATCGTTAAGTAAGTAATAGTCTTAATGATTTAACGGATGTTTTGAATTTATTTAAATTCCACTATATCCTTTGGCATCATTATTGTAAATTTTTATACCCATTCCCATAACATATCCTATAGATGATTGTTATTTTTTACTGTTAAACTATTTGACCATTACAAGTCTACAACCATATTGCGACACGTGTTTCGCCTCTGAACGAGTATCATCTGGCATTGTATAGGGTTCTAATTTAGCTTGGGAGCCTAGTGTCAACACTATTAATATCAGTAACGTCAAGTTTCTACATTGAATTGTACTAATTAATTGGATACAAGTTACTTATGAGAGTCTGGAACTGAACTGAACTGAACTAGGTCGAAACCTGTAATACAGATCTCCAGGCTCTCTCCGTCTTAAAATTTGTGATCTCTAATATGTTCCATACAGTATCCATTAAATAAAAAAAATGTGTTCAATAAATTGGTATTGTAACAATGTATGTTAACATTAACAGCAATAATTACCTGATACGCTTTGTACTTAATTAATTCCTTGAGCCGATCAACGATAAAGAAATAATGATCTTCATCGTAATAACCGATATCACCAGTTTTGAAGAAGCCTTCATCATCACAATCATCCCTCCTGTCCTTGCCAATATAACCCTTCATGATTTGTGGTCCTTTAAAGCAAAGTTCGCCGTGTTGGTTTGGACCTAGGGGCTTTCGGGTTTCAATATCCACGACCTGGCGAAATAAATGGGTATGTATTTATTGAATTAGTAAATTTGCTGAAACTGCAAATATTATTTTTTTATCTATCTATCTAATAGTTTATTAATAAAATAATAGATGGCTTTCTGTAGATTATTTATTTAGTGATGTTGTTTTCTTTTCACCAATAAGTGACGTCTACAAATCTATAATTAAATCAAAATATTGTGCCTACACTTGTAATATTTGTGTCGACACTTGAGACCCTTCGATTAGTTTACATCCCCACTAACATAGATTTAAGTTAAGTGTAAAATTAGTCTACGTCCCGACTCCTCATCGACTGTACGCGTTATTAATAAGCCATATAGCACACTACCAATAAACTTAATAATGTACAATAAATCGTTCAATCATTTTACCGGTATACTCACTACCTACATACTACAATAAATAATAAATTATGTAGCGCCACCTCATCACAACATATATAACGCTACAGTGATGAGAATAACCACCGGGCTACAATATCTTTATTCATGTAGGTCTATTACAGACTCTCATGACATGTCAAATCTACTATCAGTTCGGAGTGCTTTCGAAATGAGAAGAAGTGACAAGACACACCGTCCCGACCACACTTTTACACACAAACACGACACCGTCTTCGCCGGTGAAGACGACGACCTCAAACACACAATATCGCGCATTCAACCGGGCGCCTGCGCGCGCCCGTGCGCTCCACACCTCCAATCGATCCTCCATCCAATTCAAACGGGGATCGATGTTACGACGGCCAGAGCCGAGGTTCGAACCCCTAGTGGTGCCCTCAGACTAAAGTCGTATCCGTCAGGCAGGAGTTGGCCTTCAGCCGCTCCATAAGTCCTTCCGCGGGTTTGGAGTGCTATCTGCACTCGCCTCCTAACGTCCGGTAAAGCTGTAAAGCAACTGCGGCCAACAGCATTAGAGTAGTCTGAAAAAAAATGACAAGACACTCAGCTTGAACTCTTTTTACATAAGCTTGCACATGTTTACAATAATACATTCATTATTAAATTTAAATTTGGCAGAATAGTGTGACCACCAGCATATTTTATTGCAATTTTGTCAAAAACAAATAATCTGTGTCCGTAACTCTAACAGATCAGTCCCTATAAGCAGCACCCGTTCATGAGTATGACGGAGCCAGCCATTATAAAAATACTAAGATATATTTCTAATGCCGTATATCTATTACTTCTTTCGTAGTTAGAATTTATAAACGCACATGTTTTCTTCAGATATGTGTAATTACTTCATAATGACTATCTAATACATATGTAAATAATAGATCCGTAATGTTACTTATGTAAATATGTCATAGATCTATTTTTATTATAGGTACATAGATAAGATGTTATGTTAGTACGTGAAGCAAAACTACGTAACCGTTTTTACGAAAATTGCGTGAACGAGGAATATGATATTTCGCACACTTGTAGTTTACTAGCTGTGCTCGAGACTTCTTTCGCGTGGTTATCAAAAACACTATCAGCGTTGCAACATTTTTCTATTGGTCGTAGCGTAATGTTATATAACTTAAAGCCTTCCTTAATAAACGGACTATCCAACACAAAAATAATTTTTCAATTCGAACTAGTAGTAACGTAGTTCCTGAAATTAGCGCATTCAAACAAACAAACCACCTCGTCAGCTTTATTGTAGTATAGATATATACACTCCTTCTCTATATCTATATATTAGTATAGATATAGAGAAGGAGTGCAGAATGCTATGTTTTTTTAATTATACATAAAAATACATTAAATCGATAAAAAAAAATATTCCACATACTACCATGTGTTACACACACAGTCGCATATATATAATACTATCTATTGTCGCATATATATATATATATATGTATACTCTTTTGTTTATTGCTTGTTCGACTGCCAATACCTGTGATTACAGAATATTCTTTGACAATATCACCTTAATAATGCTCGAACTTGGAATTTAAATTAATTATGGTCGAATTTCGACCACTACGCGACCACTAGCCATCATCCGTTTCTTCCTTATCCCCTTTATTTGTGGTCGGCGTAATATGTTTTTCTCTTTCATTCATCCATGTTACGCAACCACTAGTATAATATTTATATAGATGATTTACCTTGGCGACTGTACTAGGGACTACCTTTCCCACACTGCCAGCTTTAGCTTTGCTGGCCTGACTGTACAAGGTCCTGGTTACAGCCACAGTAGCTTCAGTCATACCGTATCCTTGAATTACGCCTATTAGATTTGGAAACCTGAAAATAGACATTAGGAAAAATATATATATGTATATATATATAAATATATATATATATATATATGTTTGGGAAACTACTCTGCTACCAAAATGTTAGGGAAGCGTCAGTCATTTACCTTTATGGTTCTGCGGATTTCTTGGGCTTCAGGGTCTCGAAGGTATCTTCGCTAGCTTTCCAGCTTCACAGTAGGTTTCACAGTAGGTTAACACAGTTCTAATTTATTTTAATTCACAACACAATGCGCGCGCGCGTCAAGGCCACTGTACGGTCCGTTTGTTACTGGGTAAGGGAGGGGAAGGAAAGATGCGGGAACAGAAACTAACGGACTCTAATATAATAATCTGTGCTTACGATGTTACAGGGTAGATTTTGAACAATATATATAATTTTTATGGACAATTCACACAATGTCATGTAATCCCAAGCTAAGTAGAGCTTGTGTTATGGATACTAGACAACTGATATAAATACTTAGATACAAATACATATGTACATAGCCGTTTAGTACACCGCCTTAATATCAATGGTCGCCAGTTCGATTCTCATAGGATAGAAACATTTGTATTCATAATTACTATATATGTCTGGTTGTTTTTTATGTAAATTATAACTCAGGACAAAACACAGCGCCACTAGATAATTAACACAGACGGCGCAAATATATTCAATAAAAAACAATAGGTTAAAAAAAATTACACATATAGTAAAAGTAAATACATGTAAACACATATACATATAATATATATCAATCTATAAATAAATATGAAATAAAATACATAAATCAAATATACCATATACATATCATATAACATAGTCTGACAATGAAAAAGTGAAAACAGAGAGTGAACGTAACAAAAGATAGGAAATAGATATTAACGAAAAAAAAATTATATTGTATAATTGAATAATGTCTTAAATCTTACTTCGTTTTCACAATGCTCAAGGTGTCATTCTGCAGCGGTGCACCACCAGAATACATAACTTGCACAGAACTCAGATCGTATTGGGATTCTGTTTTGCAAACCGCCACAAGAACCGGTGGTACTACAGTCAATTGGCTTATCTGAAAGAAACCAAATATACGTTCATTTCATCTGCAACGGTATGTATTGTTCTCCCTAATCTTAATCTTATTAACATTATAAATACGAAAGTTTGTAAGTATGGATGTTTGTTACTCTTTCACGCAAAAGCTACTGAATTGATTATAATAAAACTTTACAGTTTTTGCCCGCATTTAACCTGCATAAAATTTACAGCCTATGTTATTCTTATGTAACAGCTATATTACTATAAAGTTATATCAAAATCTATTCAGTAGCTTATGCGTGAAACACTAATAAACTACTCAATAGATAAAAAAAAAATTAAAAAAATTAAGAGACTTTGTAATAAAAGTTATTCAATTGAGTTTATTGCCAGTTCTTCTCAATTGAGTCTATATACTGAACTAGGCAGTAGGTATAACATTATACTTTCATAATAATAAGTCTAAAATGACCTACATGAATAAATGTTTTATGGATTTTGATTGATCTTTGCAGCACATAAAACTACCTTTATATGTTTGTAATTCATTCATTTATGCTAAGATTGAACCTGAGATGGTAGGTACAGAAGCTAAGTCTTTGATAACAAAAAAATATTTAATCTTTCTAATATTAGTTTAAATATCTTGGTTTTTATTAGTTTACTTTCGCTGTTTAGAACTTTAAATTTATTCAAAAATATAAACATAAAATTATAAACAAGACATAATAATATTAAACATGGATAATTCACACAATGCCATGTAGTTCCACGCTAAGTAAAACGTGGTACTAGACAAATTATAGAAATACTGTCATACATATTTCTGTATATACTTAGGTACACCACCTCCGATTGATCCCCCGTCCAATTCAAACGAAGATCGAAATTACGACCGCCTGAACCGAGGTTCGAACCCCTAGCGGTGCCGTCAGACTAAAGTCGTATCAGTTAGGCGGAAATTAGCCTTCAGATGCACCATACGTCCTTTCTTTGGTTTGGAGTGCCATCTGCACTCACTCAAACTAAAGACATATCCGACAGTATCGTCCAGTGAAGCAATAAAGGCCAGCTGCGGTGAACAGCATTAGAGTAGTCCGAGAAAAGAACTGTTACATAATATACATACAAATCGTTTATAAAGCAAGCTTGGCGGCTAAAATAAGTGAAACGCAGAAAAGCATTTACAAAGTCTACCACAGTCATACTGACCTTATATTTCTCAATAGTACTTAAATAAAGGTCCATTTGAAACTTTGCAAGATAGACGATAGATCTTCCCACGACGAGTGCAGCAAGAATGCCATTCAGTCCCATTGTGTGGTACCATGGTGTTATTATTAGTCCCGTGCTTTTCGGGTCTAGAGCACTTGGGCTGTAAATATAAACTTTTTTTATATAACTAACTAGCTACACATGGGTGTACATGTATTATACCTATAAACCTTCCTCTTGAATCACACTATCTGTTAAAAAATACCGCCTCAAAATCCGTTGCGTAGTTTTAATGCTTTAAGCATACTACATAGGGGCGGACAGACAGCAACAGTGACTGTCTTTTATACTATACTAGCTACTCGCGCCGGCTTCGCCCGAGTGTACATGTATTATACATATGAACCTTCCTCTTGAATCACGCTATCTATTTAAAAAAAACCGCTTCAAAATCCGTAAGCATACATAGGGACGGATAGACAGCAACAGCGACTGTTTTATACAATGTAATGATAACAAATAGACTAAGAAGTAATAGCAAATAGAATAGCCAAACAATATAACAGCCGCGGGAATGCGATTGCTAGTAACTCCACACAGTTCCCCCGGAAACCATCGTAATAAATTCCTGGTGAATTTGCCAAGATGAGTTAACTGACCTGACCTCATGGTCACGTTATCATCCTTCACTGGTGCCCCGCCAGCATATACCGGAATTGAAGGCACGTGCGCCATTGTACCCATTAAAAAAAACATAACACTTAATGGTAAGTGCTAACTTATGTTGTTAAATACGCCCTCGATGGTCTAACGGTTTAGCACACCGTATTATTTCAGATCGTCGCGAGTTTGATTCTTCACACGATACTAATATTAGTATTCATGAGTATGATTGTTTGTATCGGTATGGGTGTTTTTTATTTACATTGTGCATGTGTTTACAAAAAAATGTACCTATATATTTATATCAGTTGTCTAGAACCCATAATAGAAGCTCTGCGTTGATGTAATTATCATTAAATGTTGTTACTTTGTAAATAAATATTTGATTTAAATAATAATATATATCATTTAATTCGTTTAGCAATTTAAATAAGTAAATATATGAGATAAAAACAACAAAAAACAGCACAATCATAAAAAAGATCATACAAACAACAACTTGTAAGGACATTTAGATGTGTCAGCATAACTCCTTTAGGTAATCCCGTGGTACCAGAAGAATATAATATGAACAGAACGTCTTCATGTCCATTAACATCCACTGGTTGGAACTCCTCATATTTGACATTCCTTATTAGTCGATTGGTAACAATAAGGTCCGATTTCACATCACTACTTATCGGTAAAACTAAATCTTTAAAAAGTAGCACATCACTAGGACCTGTATCACCGAATAGAATTATCTTCTTCAAGTAGGCGATTGATTTCAGTGTTTTTTCTTGTTTTTCATAGTATGATGGTGAACAGAACATGTATCTAGGTTCTGATATTGATAAGATATGTTTTAATTCGCCTGAAAATGAATGTAATTGTTTAAATTAGTAAATTTTTGTAATGGTTGAATCTGGATAACCGAATGGTAATATATTTGATAAAAAAAATAACCCCAAATTTATAATCTGTATTGTAAACAATATTTTAAAAGAATACGAGCTGAGTTTCTTGTTGAAGGGTGAATACCCTTCTATCACCAAACCCTATTTTTTAATAGCGATATTAATTAATAATCAAATATTAAATTATCAACCCTTGCTGGGACAACTATTAATCATAAAAAATATATGATCAATATATATTTTACCCGCGATCATGACGGTTGAAACACTGCCGAAATATCGGGAACTCAGTAAATAAATACAAAAAGTGGTAATATTCCGTCATTTTTACTAATTATACGTATATATATAGTACAAGCTATATATTTACCTGCAGTATATGTAGGATTAATAGCAGTTAACACAGCCCCGGTATATACTGTACCGATTACAGCACTCCAGTACTCGATTTTGGTCTCAGTGCATATAGCAACCACGTCTCCCTTCCTGACGCCTATATGTGTGAGTGAGACGGCGACATTCATAGAATCTTGTAGTAATTCACCAAAAGTGTATACTTCGTGAGTGGAGCCATTTATCTATTTAATAATAATGAATTTAAAAAAAAAGGGGTACTGGCCATGGATATGCAGGATGTACCTGATACAGGTTTTACTGAGCTTTCTAGGTCAACCCAAATCTGTCTTTATATTATAATCATAATTTTTAAAGAAATAATATATTTAATTTTAAAAAACAACTAAAAAAACATCTAACAGAACAAATTACTTTAATCCCTTAGGAGGTCCCGTATCTGCGAAGCTTTATTACCCAACTTAGTCCGCAAGCATTGTCTTGCATCATCTTCGTCATCATCAGTCTCGCGGAGCCTTTCACCATATCAATATATGTGTAATCCTTGTTATAGTATTTATGTAGTATAAGTAGTTTAATAACATAATTCATCACATTATTTACAGTTTATTCATACTTTATATATTTTGATAAAGACCTCGATGTTTAATATTTATGTAATTTTTTTTTAGTAATAAGTATAGTATAAGTATATCAGAATATCAGCGCTGCAGAGTTATCTGTAGCATTATGCTGAGTTGGCTACCTTTTCACTTTTGCGGCACATAAAGCCACCTACATTTCTTTTATTAATTCGTGTTTTTCTATATCTCATGTATGTTATGTGTCTGTAATTGTGAATAAGGAATTTATCTATCTATCTAATTAAAAAAATATCATGCAGCGCCATCTATTAATCAAAAACTTTGCAAGTCTATAGGTACTAGAGAACTAATATATACTAACCTAATACCTACATAAAAACTTTGTTTTTGAAAATACTTTCAAAACATAATTACTGGTTTTTGTTTCTACATCTACGATTATAAGAGATTTCCAATCGTTTTTATTTTCTTTCAAACAACTTTAAAACCAGAATTTTAAGGAGAGGCTCAACTGGACTGTATTTTTGATGTGTAAACTTATTATTTCAGAACCTTTATCGAATTTCGAAAATCGAATATTTTTATAGAAACGTTTGGATAAAGCTATATTTATTTGAAAGCTAATATTTTCCCAACTGAACTGATATAATTTTGTTCAAGAGGTGGTCAATAATTGTTTTTGAACCTAATCCTATTACTTTATAATTAATAATGCATTTAAGTCATCTGTTATTTTTCTGCTGGTGTTGCGGGTGCTCATGGGCGGCGGTAATCACTTACCATCAGGTGAGCCGCAAACTCGTTTGGCCCCGTTATGCCATTAAAACTGTGAGAAATCTGGCCAACTTACTAGAGCAGGTTTATCCTTATATTCCCAGGCTCTCTTCAGGAAATAATCACCGAAATTCAAATTTGCTGGCACTCTACATTCACCTGTACCATATACGTAGAAACTGTTTTTTAACATTTCTTATTTATTACGATAGACGTTTATTACAAGATAGTGCTTACACGACTGAATTTCACTTATTTATAGTAACATATATACTGATATAGTGGTATAATAATTTCCCTTATCTATTTTATAAACATGCTTACATTTTGTTATCATATCACGACCTTTGCGGCAATATAGGCTTGTGTAGTTTATGAATGAACTAGTTCAAAAGTGAGCAGTTAGTAGATAAAAGTGGGAAGGCTCATAGCTCCCAGACATAAGTACACTAGTTCTAGTCTCTTCTAAATAACAGGTAAGGCAAGGACGAGACTACAGAAACTTAGCAGTCTTCGCTCTATTTTATAATCTTAAATTTAGTTATCATGTTTTTTTATTTATTAGAGCGACCAACAAACACAAAAAATCAGCACAGCCCAAAAAAATGCTGAAGAGTAAAACTTACGCCCAGGAATGAACGAGGCTGCAATGTCACAATTACATTATATTAGTTGGACAGTTTTAACATAATTAATTTCATATTAAATCTATAAAACACTATGTTCTTGTTGCAACTGCGGTTTGCGTTACAACTTCTGAGGCACATTCGATTCGAATGAACTATTCATGTTCAAAAGAGCTGCAAACTAAACTGATCACTCAGAGTCGGAACTGTTACGTACAAGACTATAAATAAAGTTTATAGAGCAGTGATAGAATACTTTTGTATTTTTCCTTTTCGCTTCTTATTAGGCTGTACATATTATGAAGTGATATTCTTGCTTATCAAGTATTTCCTTTTATTTTAAAAAATAATGTAGCTAAATAATAGCTCTGGGCAAGGGATTGTTAGTTGTGGGCAGTTTTTTTTTAGAGGATGATAATGGAATGGTGCGCCCGCCTGCGCTGACGGTTTACGCTGGCGGGGCACCAGTGGAGGATGACAGGATGTGAGACATGAAGTCAGATCAGTTAGCCCAACGTGATAAATATACCTGGAATTTATCACGATGGTTTCCAGGGAGAACCGCGTGGAGGTCGACCTGACATTGGTAACAATCCCCTTCCCCCCTTATGTGGAATCTTGACCTAGTAACTAACAATGCACCATGTCAGGTTTCCTCTGGAAACTATCATTATAATAGCTATATATAGATAGCTAACTAACTTAATTTCATGTTCATTTTATCATCCTCCACTGGTGCCCCGCCAGCGTATAACGTTATAAATAAATACTATTATTCCACAAATGATTATTTAAATAATAAGCGGTGTACAAAAGGCGACATTATCGGTTTTGCAATCTGATAAAATTGCGTTTGTTGTTTACTTACCGTATCGACGGTAGATTTAACAGCTGTCATGGTAACTAAATATGTATTTTTTTTCTTTTGTAATGGCCTGGCACTGTGGTGCATTTGCCAAATACATATGTCATATTGCATTATGACAAATAGTAAACAATCCAATCAAATAAATAAAATTTAAGCGTCTGTTTGTAATTTCAAATTAACTGCATATTAAAGTATATACAGTATATACATCAAGAAATTAATTTACAAAAAAATGTCTGAGTTTATTTTTGTTAATTTCTGAATGGGCTGGACCGAGTTCGACGGGACTTTTACTCGCAGATAGCTAATACTATATAGGTTAACTTAGTAACTTTAGAAAAAATATCAGGATTAACTTAAATTAAATTATTTTAATTTCACATTCACTTTAGCCACACTCATTTTAGTAAAAATATTTCAATTCCACACGCACAACATCGTGACTATCATTCCAATGTGAACCAATCTTTATAAGGGAGTAAAATTGAGCATTGCTTTGCTGAGCCGTTAACAATAAACCAAATAAGAAGACTCATCAGCGGTGAGCATAAATTATAAAAATGTTGGGACATGAAATAAAAACGTCCAGTTAATAATATTGTTATATTTCATTTATCATATAATTATATTGAGTGTGCCGACGAGTGGCCAATCACGCCAAATAGCTGTACGTGTCCTTCTCACCCTCAGTGCGTTCCAAATATTCCTTCTCTATTAAGATGTCGATACATTTCTGTGAACAAACATTTCATGTTATTTTTTTTGACAATTTACACAGCGCCATCTAGACCCAAGTTAAGCTAGCTTATGCTTGTGGTATGGATACTAGATAACTGATACAAATACATAGATACATTTTTTTCGTAAATACATACATATTATACATAGAAAATACCCAGACCCATACAAACAATCATACTCAGGAATACAAATGTTTGTGCCGTGCGAGAAATCGAACCCGCAACCATCGGAAGTAAGGCGGTGTGCTAAACCACTAGACCGAGGTCGTCGATTATTACATTACTTTCTTTTTTGTTTCATCATGCACGTAGACGAGCCACCTGATGGTAAGTGGCAACAGTCGAATATATGTCTTAATGTGTGCATATATCCTAAGTCACTAGCATTGAATCATATTACTACTCTTATTATTACCATTATAACAGCGAAAGTTTGTGAGTATGGATGGATGTTTGTTAGTCTTTCACGCAAAAACTACTGAACGGATTGTGATGAAACTTTACTAATATATAGGCTATAAATTGCACGCTGGTGAAATCGCAGGTACAGCTGGTATTTAATAAAAAGACCCAGGGAAAATATACCTTAATGACAGGCACTCGCGGCTTGAACCGCGACGACAGTTGATTGAGGACCTCGACTACCAGGTGCTGGTGTTTCAGGGTCTTTCTGGTCTTCATTATCCTCACTATAGCCGCCTGTAAATAAACAATAAATAAATAAATAACCCTTGACAGCTAACACAGCGCCATTATGACTATGATTGTCAGTATCAGTCTGGGTGTTTTCTCAGTACAATATGTATTTACGAAAAAAAATCCATGTATTTGTATCAGTTATCTAGTACCCATAACACGAGCTTTAGCTAGCTTAACTTGGGACTCTTTAGCTAGCTTAATTTGGGACTAGATGGTGCTGTGTGGATTGTCCTGAGATTATTATTAATATCTAACCCCACGGTAAGCTGAGCTTGTGTTACGGGTACAAGACAACTGATGCTTAGTTTTTTTTTGTAAATACATACATAATATACATAGAAAATACCCAGACCGATACAAATAATATCCATGAATACAAATGTTTGCACCGTGAGAAGTATCGAACCCGCGACTATCGGAAGTAAAGCTGTATGCTTAACCGCTAAACCAACAAGATCTATAACAGTTATATAACTTAAGATAAGATACACCAGTCGAAATTCGACCATAATTTATTTAAATTTTATGTTTGGTTAATTAGGTTCTACTATCTCAAGTATGTAAATAGAAGACTAACACATAATTCATTCATTCATAATTTAAGACTTGTGCTCTTGTCGGTGGAGCTCCAGCCACCATGCACGATCTTTTTAGTTGTTGATACGACACGACTCCAACTTTTTCCTTAACCTGCTTGGTATAGCTATGTCTTGGTCTTCTCCTTCGTCTCTTTCCATCTATTTTTCCTTCGATAAATTTATTAATAAGTTCGTTGTGTGCCCCAACATTTTTCCTTACACATAATATACATAGTAAATTACAATAATGCCTACAAGTGTTTGTATCGTGCGAGGGATCGAACCCGCGACCATCATAAGGCGGTGTGCATGGTGTACTGGGTCTGTCGGATGAACTACAACATACCTGTATTAGCATCTTCCGGTCTTCTTCGATGTGTTTGTGTGTCGCCTCCTGTTCCACTTTCAGCTCTGTCTTCAGAGGTATGTTGATGTTGACGCGAAGCTTTTTACTGGAACACAATCGCAATTATTTATTAATTCATACAACTTTAACCCAAACAGTGTCGTCTTTATATAGTATAAAATGGTCGCATTCTCTGTCTGTTCGCTTAGATCTTTTAAACAACTCAACTTTAATACAGTTTTCAACTCGCTGTACTGTAATTCGAAGCTTGTAAATGAGAATAGCGAAACCACTTTTCGATATTATTTTTTTCACATATTAATTATTTTACTTTGGTAACAGCACAGAAATACTCGATTCTCTTGAATACTCTTGATTACTAATAACAGTGGCACTCAATGAGGAAGTAGCCATTATTATTGCTAAAAGTTGCATATAGATGGCGTGATTGGTATCGATGGAATTCTTCATAGTTTTGCAAACGTTTTAAAAAACAAAACTGTGTTTTCAAAAATGTTTAATCAATTTTTAAAAAGTTATATATACATGTTAAAATGAAATAATGCGTTTAGTAAAGTAATTTTCATATATTTACTCATTTTGTTATTTTCCAGTACTTAATTACACTTTAATCAGTGCTAATATGGGGCTCAATGTTTTCAAAATGCTTTCATAGATGGCATTGTCGTCATTTGTATCGGCCTAATTAAATGTCTTTTTTATATTTTCCAATAATAAGCACTTAATATATTATTATTGTAAATTAAACATATAAAATTTTTTTAAGTAAATTAAAAATAGCCGAACAAGCAAGTAATACTATTTCCAATAATACTTATGTATGAAGTGTTGTCATATTAAAAATAAATACATGTATTATCGATTTTTTTGAATAATCGATAACAGGATTTTATTACAGCGCATTATTCGATGATGCTTTTAATGAGTCGTTGTGAACAGTAAATTTTCATTATTTTGTATTATAGCAGTGTTCCGTTTCAAAGAACGGAATATCGTAGTACATTATTAGTGTCGTTGGTTATTTACATTTGTACTGAAAAATCGATTACATAATAATTTAAAATATCGAGTACGAATCGTAGCTGTCTCGAATACTGGCAACTGGTAAGATTAAAATAGTATTTAAAAAAAGAGAGAAATCGACCCTAACTCGAATACCATAAAGTTGATTTTCCTTTCTCATTAATATCATAGCAGTTTGTTTTTAACTTGCGTATGACTCTGTGGTATGATGTTTAACGTGTATTGTTATTGTACGGTGCATACATTTCAAAAATTATATTTTAATGTAGGTACATACATTTCTTTCATACATTTCATACATGTCAAAAATTATCTTTTAATGTAGGTACATACATTTCATACATGTCAAAAATTATCTTTTAATGTAGGTACACACATTTCTTTCATACATTTCATACATGTCAAAAATTATCTTTTAATGTAGGTACATACATTTCTTTCATACATTTCATACATTTCAAAAATGAACTTTTAATGTAGGTACATACATTTCATACAAGTCAAAAATTATCTTCTAATGTAGGTACATACATACATTTCTTTCAATGTATGAAATGTATTTCACACATTTCAAAAATGAACTTTTTATGTAGGTACATACATTTCTTTCATACATCTCATACATTTCAAAAATTATATTTTAATGTAGGTACATACATTTCTTTCATAATTTTAATGAAAAACCTAGACCGACCCTGTTCACTTAATCTTACAAGATCTGACTTTAAAAATTACGATATCCTCATATAGCCTTTCATGTCCCCTTTCAATACTTTTTCGCATTAAAAAGTAGCCTTTCTCAGGGTCTCCATTATCTGTCTACCAAATTTCAATTAAATCAGTTCAGTAGTTTTGGCGTGAAAGCGAGACAAACAGACAGACTGAGTTACTTTAGCATTTATAATATTTATAAGAATATCGCTATTAAAAATAGAGGTTGGTGAAAGACGGGTGAAAATTTAGGCGTGTATGTATTTTCAATGTAACATTATAAATAAATAAAAAATTGTCCATAATACAAAAAAATATTTTTTCGGGGTAGGCCACCCCTATGACTTAGGGGTATAAAAAATAGATAACAACCCTACCTCAGACCTGGCAAGTATACATATCAAATTTCATCAAAATGTGGGAGAAATATGGCAACTAACACTGATACAAAATGTATATATAAGATATAGCGGAATTCTCATTAGGTAAAAGAGGGGTACATCGTAGAATACATGAGGTATATACCAGTAAATTAATTGTAGCTAAAATCAGTCTCATACATATAACGATTGAAATAAAAAATCGTATAGCCCGATTTTGATACGTACGAGTATAAACGTATCAAAATCAGGCTATACGTATAGCGCAGACGCGTTACAACATATCAAAAAAATAGGCATGGAATGTAAAATAAACCATAACATAATAGGTATATACATTGGCACATAAGCCATATCTGCAGAGTGTCGGCTAACGATATTATACCTACACATTTACATTGAATCTTGAATCGTCCCTAATGAGGTACACGATACAGTTACCTACATATCTATTATATACATATCTTTGCAAAACAGATGTCATGTAGACTGAATTGACTGCCATCTATTTTCATGCTTTGTTACTAAGCACCCACTAGTAATCCAAACTGCTTCAGATCTAGCGACATCTAGCGGCTACGGTGGCGAAATAAAATAGCCCGAAGAATAGCCCGAGTTAGGAAGGAACCATTTTCTTGTATGGGATGGGGTATCTGTATGTAATATTATGTTATCTGTGCTAATAATATTTAACATTGACATTGGACATAAGTCGTGTAATATAGTGGCAGTGTGTGTAATATTTTATTTTATTTTATTGATTTAATATATTTTTCATGCATAATTATAAAAATATATAAACTTATAAATGTCTGAAATTTCATACTCCGTAAAAAGGATAAAAACTTTCATGTTTTGAATACAATCTGTTTCTGTTTTGAAAAAATTCTTTATCCAAATGAACTTAAATTTTAACACTTATATTCTTTAATCTACCACTCATTTGGATCGCTTTCTCATCAAGAAGAACGAGCAAGTACCTTGCGTGTTGCTCTTTTAAATAATTGTTATAACGTTAAAATATGTGAAGACAAACTACCAACTAGCACTAATTTATTACAGTCAATATATTAAAATATATACATATAATACTCACTTCTTATATCCTAAGTATAATTCCACGACGGATGATTCTGTGAGCTCCGACTCGTCATCATGGCAGACGAGTAACTTCGCTTTCAGTAGTATTTGTAATACCTGCACATAGGGAGGTAAGGTATTGATAGTTATGTGGATTAATAACCCCATTGCTAGCAATGTACCATGCCAGGTTGACCTCCACGCGGTCCTCCCTAGAAACCATCGTTATAAATTCCTGATGAATTTACCATGATAGGCTAAATGACCTGACCTCATGCCCATACTATCATCTTCCACTAAACCGTAAGCACAGGGGAGTACACCACTCCATTATCACCAATTAAAAACAATACTAGCATACGATACAGCACATGACAATTTAACGATTTCATCTCTTACCTAAGGAGACTTTGTTCAAAGTCGTCTGCGTGGGTATCTCTACCTCATCTATTTCAGCCGACAAGCTACTTGTTTTACTACTCTGTACTACGACCAATAAGTCGTTAGTACAAATCCGGCTGACACCATAAAAAAAAGATTTGTGTGCGTGTCAATTTACATTTCTTCTGACTCTCGGGTGTAGTAAACACTACATTTACATGCACATTATATCACACATAAGACTATTCGAGCGCGAAAGAGCGTGTAAAAACTACCGAACTGTTAATGAAAGTTTCCAATAATATATATACATCAGAATAACATATAAGGTATACATTACACAAGGGTGGAACCACCGGCGCGACAAGTTTCATTCATAATACTATTTATATTTGTGTACAACTTTTCCATCGGGCCCGCCGTATGCTTAAAATACAAACTGCTCACCTGCAGAAGGAAGTCACCCTTGATCCCTGTGTGATGCTCCAACTGGCGGACGGTCCACGCGGTATTGTCGTTGTACTGTAGAAGGACTGCCATCTGGAAGGTACTCGCCTGCAGTGTGTATCTGCAAATAATATTATAAACATCAATTCTAACCTAAATATGGTCAACGTAAATCATTTGTGCTATATAAATACTAAAGATTTCCCACGGAAAGGGGATTGTTAGTAATGTGAATTGATGATCTCAATGCGAACAATTTACCATGTAAGGTTGACCTCCACACGGTTCTCCCTGGAAATCATCGTGATAAATTCTTGATGAATTTGGGCTATCTAGTCCCAAGATAAGCAGAGCTTGTATTATGGGTACTAGACAATTCATAGATATACTTAGTTTTTTTAATACATGCTGAATATACATATAAAACACCGATTTAGTCTGGGTGTTGTATATGTATGTATAAAAATTATTCGAACTTATGAATACAATAATCTAAATAATAACAAACAGCAATATTATACACCTGTCGTATCAAGCATAATTTTCTGCAGGAAGACTGAATAACAATAAATTAAACATATTAGTATTACTTCATCAGTATGACCCGTACTAATAACACCGAAAAAATTCAAGAATATAAAATATAATAAAAACAATAATCTCAGGATGATTCACACAGCGCCATGTAGACCCAAGTAAAGCTAAATCTTGTGTTATTAAACAACTGATACAAATACATAGATATATATTTTTTTCGTAAATACATAAACACTATACATAGAAAACACCCAAACCAATATAAACAATTATATACCATGAACATGAATGTACGGTACAACTGTGTAAGGGATCGAACCTGCGACCTAGTTGGCAGTACTGACCTGTTTTTGAAACAGTTGGTGACAAGCTCGCCCTTGCTCATGTTATAGAGCCAGTTGAGCTTCCGTCCGCTGTGCTGCGACGAGTAGAACGAAGTGAATCTGTGCACAGACCGCTCCAACTGTGCAAACAAACCAATACAAAACATAAATAACATATACTGCATTCACTTATACATCACATATTTTTAGAAAACGACTTGATATTAAGCATTATAATAATCATATTGTTTAATTCCGTATAATTATATAATTATCTTTATATAAAAAATTTCGTGTCACGTTGTTTGTCTGCGTTGGACTCCTAGACTACTGAACCGATTGCAAATTTGATTTGCACATAGTGTGCAATTTGATCGAACTTGATAGATAGGACAGCTTACATCTCAATTTAAAGTCCCAATATTATTTTATTGAATTTTATTTTTATGTATAAGGAAACTGTTAGCCACAGCAACGCGTGGCCGGTCTGCTAGTAGTAGTACTATGGTATAAATATTATATCAAATTGTATGCCTAGATTTATTTTACTGACCTCTGTAGGCAGCTGGAAGGACGAAGACTGCTGGAAAGGCCAGGAACCAGACGATAGCACTTGAATGCTGAAATCAATGTGGAGCGGTTGTTCAGAATTCTTCGCCATGTGTTTGCGGAAGCTTTCGTTCAGGTCCTTTGATACTCCAATATCCTGGGAAAAAATTACATGTCTATACATCACACGTATATACACCAGCCCTAAACCCACTGTTTTTTTAATCTGTTTTCCGTTTAATCTGTTCGCAAGGAACTGTATTAATAAATAAACATCACATTAGTGTTTCAATTCGGGTTAATAATTAAAAAAAGTGTTAAGCAAACACGTGTCAAAATTACAATTATTTTACTCAAATATAGGGTTATCTTAGGAGTATTCAAATGCACTTACGGTACGGGAGGCGATTGAAATTAAAAAATATCCCTTTGAAATAATAGCTTAGAATGCAGTCAAAAAAAATTTAAACAAAGTTCAGTAGCATCAACAGTCAATAAGTGTAGGTATATCGTGAGTGCTATGTTTATTGAACAATCTAGTGATGGTAAAAGAAAAAAACTGCTGACAATAACTACATTGACATCGCTGTTACTCCAGTCGCCTCGTAACCACAGTTAGTGCAACCTAGTCGAAACGTCGAGAGAGGAGGAGAAGAGAAATATCTTTAGCCATAAAATTATTCGTGTTAAGACCCAAACCAAACAATATAAATAACGTTTCTATTAATTTCATTGCAATAAATGTTTTTTCTATAGAAAGTAGAATTCGTTTCTTTTTATATTACGATGGTGGCAAACAACTATACGGCCCATCTGATGGTAAATGGTTACCGTAGCGTATGGACGCCTTACACATCAGAGGTCACGTGCGCGTTTCCGACCCTAATGAAACCTTAATATACTCTTCTGAAAGAAAAATTAAGTATATTACCTGGAACATCCTCTGTAATTTGCTGGTGTATTCAAATCCGCAAGCCTGTTTTAATTTTGAGATCATTGATGCCTGTAAGTAAAAAGAAAAAAAATACGTTATTTATCGCATAGTTATCAGTGATTGATTTCGATTCTGCAGTCGAAAATGAGAAAAAAATATTTTAACATTTCAGTGTAGATGGCGAAATTACTGTCAAAACGAAACATTCTTAAAAATTCATAATTTTTAGAACTTAATGTACTTTTTAGCTCAACAATGAGTAAACAATAGTAGCATAAAAGATATCCAAAATTATTTTCTGTTAAAATACTATATATACCTATGCTGTTCTCTTACATGTGATGGATTTTACTTTTTATTCTAAAATCAATGTGCCTAATAGTCAGCTTGTTTGTCATTGTAGTCATATAAAAAACTAGATTTTACCCGCGGCTTCGCTCGCAATAATTTATCCCCTTAGGGGTGGAATTTATCAAAACCCTTTCTTAGGGGATGCCTACTGCATAGTAGCTTCTCTCAAGTCTCAGCCCGATCGGTTTAAAATTGTCAAAATTTCATACAAACTTTCATCCCCTATTTTATCCCCTTGGGGGTAGAATTAATCAAAATCCTTTCTTAGCAGATGCCTACGTCATAACATCTACCTGCATGCCAAATTTCAGCCCGTCCAGTGGTTTGGGCTGTGCGTTAATAGATCACTATGTCAGTCACCTTTGAGTTATATATATTTAGATTACCTCTGCGTCGTCGCTAGCCGACATGTGTTGAACGAGCCGCTTCGCCAACATTTTGCTGTAGAACTTCTGGAATACATCCTTATCTTCAATGTATTTAAAGACAACCATCTGAAAGAAAACAGACTGTTTTTTAATTTATAGACAGAGCATTTTGAAATTCCATTCCATACCCATACCATCACAACCAATATGACTATTAGGGGGAAGGGGATTTTGTTAGTAATGTGGACTAATGATCCCATTGCTAGCAATGTACCATGTCAGGTCGACCTCCACGCGGTTCCCCCTGGAAACCATCGTGATAAATTCCCGGTCAATTTGTCACGTTGGGCTAACTGATCTGACTTCATGTCTCACATCCTATCATCCTCCACTGGTGCCCCGCCAGCGTAAACCGTTAGCGCAGGCAGGGGCACCATTTCATTATTATCCTTTAAAAAAAAATATGACTATTAGCAATAGATATTTTTGGTACATAGCCAGCAATGACTTTCGGGTTAATTTTTGGTTTCATAACGTATATTCTCAGCATAGGAGAGTCAGAAATATAAATAAACACTAAGTTTTTTTTTTGTTAACCAGAATTCAGAAATATATATTGACATTGTTTTTGTGTATTTTAGCCTGATTTGAACTGACGACCAATTTGGCATTATTAGGAGTAGTAAACTACTGAATCACGACACTTTCATTATGTTTGTTTTGTTTTATCTCGACCTCTTGAGAGTAATTCATTGACTCACAGATAAATTATTCGGAAAAGCAGAAATATAAATTGACACAAGATTTTTTTGTGCGTTAGCCAGACTTAACTGTCGACCTCTGTGCAAATTCAGGGTACCAAACCACTGAGACACGACACTACATATTATCTCATTTGTGTAATGTATTAAGTATATATTTCAATAGTCTGTCTTACCACTTGGTTGAGAGTGTCTTCCAGCTCAGCCTCCTCGGGATTCTTACTGGACTTCTTAAGCAGCAGGTCACAATATTTGGCCAGCAGTTCCGGACTCTTAGATGACGAGTTAGCTGCTTTGGTAACTGCATTGCCTGGAATAACATCAAAATACATTTGGTTTATGTACCACGGAACAATGGAAAATGTAAATATTAATTTAATTATAAATTATTATTACTATAAAACCCATACAAGACATTTCTGTTACATAATATTTTGTTAGACAATTTATTTTTTTATTATAATGTATAACAAAAAAAATATACTAGTAGCCCAGGGGAAAAGTACTATTGTTTTTTTTTTTTGGAAATTTTTGAAAAGCATTTTTGGAAGGTAATTCAACAATGTGGTTGTACGTGGTAAAAAGTTTCTAGAAAAACGCATGTTGGAGATCTGCATTCATCAAGATGATCAGATTGGTATTTTAGTTTCTGGCATGGAGTGCGATGGTGAAATTTAGCAGATTATTTCTTGCTATATCGTCTATCATTCTGTTTCGGACTTCCTCTACCCTCTGCTCTTATAACCATCTAAACAACACTTTCTTTTAAATGCATTTATAATATTTGTATATATAAAAAATAATTAAGATTACTGACTGTTTATAAATCTGCCACAAGCCTTGTCAAGCGCCGCCACAAATCCGGAGTCATTGTTGAACGCGATCAATACGAGTGCGTTGTACTTCTTGTGAACCTCGAGAATCGTCGATACATATACTTTCGGATCCTGTTCAAGATAGACAAACATAGAATACAATTATTTCAATATTCATGGATTAATATCTGATGTTAACTTAAGTTGTTAATGGTATCACTCAATATGTAACACTTTGAAATATGAGTAGAGTGGAATTACTATAAATATAATTATAAAATGGAATAATGGAGCTAAGTAGAATAAAACTGATTGAAATTAAAGTGAATAGAGTGGCACGAAGTGGAGTTGCGCTAAGAGCAGTAGAATTGAGTTGTATGGAATTAAGTGAAATGGAACTGAGCAGAGTAGCTCTTAGTGCAAACTAAGTGGGAAGGATCTGAATAGAGTACAAATGAGCGAAATGAAAATAAGTGGAATGGAACTGAGTGAAGTGAAGCTAAGCAGTGAGTATCTGAGTGAGATGGTACTGAGTATTTTGGAGTTGAGCACAATGCGACTGAGTATAGTGACTACATACCGTGTGAGCGCACTCGCCGCACTTGTCGATGGCCTGCAGCCCCTGCACGTGTATGTGCTGCTCCAGCAGCCGCCGCAACTCGCACAGTCCGTCCGGAATACGAGCCACCAAATTATACATGCGGCCCAGGTCCGCGTTCTTCTCACCATCCAAGAGTTTCTGTTTAACAAATGAAATATTTTCATTCACAATACTCTGTACCGATAGAAATAATCTTTATTGAAATAAACTTAAATAACTTTTGATTAGTCATTTCATCACTTTTGATTTTTTTATTTTCGAATGAGAACGAGCGAGAAATTTTCATGTTGTTTTAAATAAAGATTGTTCAACTTTACATTTTTTATTTTGTATGAATGCAAACTGCAAAATTTACATGTGTAAATATATAGGTACAAATATTAATATTAGATAATTATAAAAAAAAGGTAAACAAACTGATAGTGTTACTTCCAATTTTAATTAGTTAATAACAGACTGTCTGACTGTGTACAGTCAGACAGTCTAGTGCAACAAGCAGTTACAATTAAAATCTATAATTATATTTCGATTAATCTATTGTAATCTAGTCTCTCATCTATAATGTACTTGTCTAGTCAACCTCCTTGCGTTCCCTGAAAGTCATTGCGGTTAATTCCTGATCAATTCGCTATAATGGGCAATTGGCCTGACTTCATGCTCATCATATATAGATTTTACCGTTAGCACTATTCCATCACCAATCATACAAAAAAGACATTCTGAAAGAACGCAAATTCGACTAAAACACTAATTAACTCCTTGTTACTCACCTGGAACTCGGCATGGAATATTTCCAGATGCTTCTCTATAAGCACGCGATCGCAGGTCTTGGCGAGCCGCTCCATGGTTGTCTCATGCAGGTACACCTGTACCCTTCGCTGTTCTTCTTGCAGGCGTTGTTCAGCCTGCCAACATTATATACAAATAAAACTTTATTTTTATATACAGAATGTAGAATTTGCTTTGTACAAGCCACATCGTATCCGTCAGGCAGGAAGGAGTTGGTTTGGAATGCCATCTGCGGCCAACAGTATTAGAGTAGTCCGAAAAAAAAACATTTCTTGCGTGAAAGTCGATTACTGCGTGAAAGCGCGTATTAAATGCAGCTAATATGAGATCATTATCATCATCATCATTACAGCCCGGAAGACGTCCTCTGCTGAACAAAGGCCTCCCCCAAAGATCTCCACGACGATCGGTCCTGCTCGCATCCAACGCCTTTCAGCGATCTTGATCAGGTCGTCAGTCCACCTTCGCTGGAGGCCTTCCCACGCTGCGTCTTCCGTAATAATAATAATAATAATATGAGATAAATTACCTTAATCATATATTCGGTAACAGGATTGTTTCTGAGGAAATCTGTACTTTCTCTAGTATAGAATCTTTCAGTGTCCTCAAGGAACACAGCCTCGAAGGTGTCCTTGTACACTGCGAGATTCTGACCTCGGGCGCTGGGGTCCTCTTCGTTCAGACCCAAAGCTACGTAGCAGTTGATTACCTGTAATATAGTATACATTTAGAATAGTCGTCTTAAGAAAATACGAATAAAAATAACCTTTAAATAAACTATTTAGAATAAATTTTTCATTGCCAATGTTACGATACATATAGCTCCCATATTTTATACAGTTCATATTTAGTCCTTCTTGTTTTTAATGCTAATGTAATGCATGTACTAATATAATGTAATGTCAATTAATTGGAATTTATAATTAGTTTTAATATTGTGACTGCAAATTGTTAACGCCGTTGGCTTCAAATAAAATATAAATAAACAAAATCAGTGGTAAGGCGGTGTGCTAAACCGTCTTGGTCGCAGGTTCGATTCCTCGCATGACACAAACATTTCTATTCATGAGTATGATAGTTTGTCTAGGTTTTTCCATGTATAATATGTGATAACAAATTAACACTCACCCCAGAAACAAGTCTGGTGTTGATCGTCTCTCCATTGCGTTCTCTTTCAATCAATTTAAGTACAGCATTCGTGACTTGCTTATTCAAACGCTGGAATAGGTTGTCGCGCCATGTCACAAGGGCGAGCTGGTAGATCTCGTATCTCCCCTGAAAGAATTTATAACAGCAATTTAGTACAAGTAATGGCATTTTAATCATCTTTTTTTTAATATTTATTTATTTATTACAATTTTAATCCACAAATTCAAAAATAAAGGAGCATATGGTGGACCATAAGGCATTTTTTCCCAGTCAACCATAGGGCAAACAAAGATTAGTGGGCATTTTATTAGTAATTCCAAATATACATATTAAAAACAAATCAATAATGAATACTAACAAATGTATATTACTAGCTGTGACCGCGTGAAATTTAAAGCTTATATGTCATCCTGATGTATGTATATATTACTATACTTTAGTATTATATTATATTATATACTATTACTACATTACTGTAAAGTTTCATCAAAATCCGTTTATAATATTAATAAGATATGTTACATATCTACTTTAGAGATATTTTGTAATGCGAAAATTTAAAAATAAAAATTACCTTACGCCCTTCCTCGCACTCGCGCTTCACCCAATGCCTGTTCAAGTAAGCGCAGACACCATTCAGTACCCTGGACGAGAATTGGTATTCTTCCCATTGCTTCGTATAGAAAGCGAGGACATCTTCATCCATCAGGTCGGCGCCATTCTAGAACAAAGATTGTACATATATATTTACTAGCTGACCCGTGCAACTTCGTCTTCTTCACACTTGCCCATTTTTGCTACATTTTTATTGCAGTTCCACTCCTATTGATCGTAGGGAAATATTATATCGCCTATACTCTATGCAAATGTCTGCCAACTTTTTTTTAATTTAGCCTTAAATCATATTTAATATTAAAAAATTATAACTGTTCACTTAAGAAACTTAAGTGATAGGTTTTAGGAAGATATCACTAGGAAACTTTTATTGAAAAAAGCAATTACTATGTTTCATTAACAATTTCCTAGTAATTTCTATTTTCAAAACAATGAAATTCTAAAAATCAAATTTCAAACAATTTTAAATAAACATTTTTCTATATCAATCTATTATTTTAATTTGTGATAAAACGATTATTTTTATTATATCGTTAAATTTGACACCGTATTCTAGCATTGCATTCAAATAGTCCGGAGTGAAAGGCTTATACTCGTACCGACTCCATTTTCGAATTGCCCCCTTAAAAATAAAAGTATTCTCTGTGGGGCATGGGCTCCACGTTGGGCAACACTGGTCTATGATATACATATCAATAGTTTGTTGGTACTATACTAACTTGTAGCAGATTAATGAGATAAATCCTGAGAAACTCCCGCAGCCTCTGGTACAGCTCCAGGCCGACGAGTTGAGCGCCGCCCTGAACTTGGCCACTCTATAAAAAAATATACACTTTTTAAACATATTTTTTTTATATTACCTTAACTGTACAGAAAAAAAAATAGAAATCAGTTAACGCATGCTTAACATTAGTTGTTCATGTACGGGATTATCAATTTAATGTTAGGCATAGACACCCAAACAAATAACTGGCTTAAAAAAAACAGTAGTTGAGTTCCTTGCCAGTCCTTCTCAACTGAAACCATTTAACTAATAGGGATAAAATTGTTCTTTATTCTAAAAAAATATTACAATTGTTGTAATTATACAGGTGTTCTTTAACATATTTTTATGTCTATTTTATCTATGTAATTTATAATGTTAATTAAGATGTTAAGGTAGTGAATCAGAGGTATAAGATTTAGGATGAATGGGACGTATGGAGAATTACGACTTACGACTAGTACGACAGGGATATATAATAAATAGGATTATAAAATTAAAAAATAATACAAAATCCCATTTATTTAAAAACAAAATATGTTCAATATACATTATTTATATTTATTAGTTTACTTTTTCTTTATTTACCATTAAAATATTCGTGTTAAGACCAATAACAACAATATAAATCTATCAAGAGTTTCGCTATCTTAACTAACATTATATTCTAACAAGACTGACTACCCCAACTGGGATCACAGTTGCGAAGGTATTATGACGTAATTATTATGTATTTCGGTGTAATAAATTACATGAACTGATGAATCCACTCATATTATTAACCGGTTTTTTAACGTTTCGTCATTTCCATTGTGATTTATGATAATTTGCCAGCTCTAGTAAATATTGAAGATTACATAAAACGAGGTGACTACGTAACGGTTTTTTAATGAATAACTAGTTATTAACCGGCGAATTGCCGAAGAAAATATACAGCAATATTCTTTCAAATATATACTTTTTTTAAGGGAATGGCGAAGGAGCTGACAAATTTTTTTTTACATGGATGACAATGCAACGGTACACCCTCTTGGACTAAAGGTTTACGTTTGCGGGGCACCAGTGGAGGATGATAAGATGAACATTAGGTCAGTCAGTTAGCATATCGTGACAAATTCACCAGGAATTTATCATGATGGTGTCCAGGAGGGATCGTATCGGACGTAACACAATTTTTACTAAGTTCTATATAGTAGTAGTAGTAAACATGCAAACATTTCGCAAATGGTAGACTACCGCCGTCTCTCCAAAAAATTTTTGTTAAAGATATTCCCATCACCAGGGATTCATACAGAAATATAAATACACATACTGAAAGCGGGTGCACCGTTCCATATCTAAAAAAAAACCGTTACGTAGCGATTCACTTGTACTTATTTACGCATGGACGAATTGGGTAATTGCGTGAAAACTTACATATTTATCGCGACAGAATAAAATACGACTATATTCTTTGTTAGTTTAGGTTTCTTGTCTAATATTGACTGTCCCGGTGATCTAGCGTTTTAGCACATTGCCTTACTATATCCTCCGATCGATCCCCCGTCGAATTGAAATGGAGATAGACATTACGACGGCCTAAACCGAGGTATCGATCGAACCCCTAGCGGTGTCTTCACGTCGTATCCGTCAGGCGGGAGTTGACCTTAGCCGCCCCATAGTCCTTCGGGTTAGGAGTGCCATCTGCACTCGGCCTTATCGTTCTATGAAGCTGTAAAGGCAAGCTGCTGGCAACAGTTCGGAAAAACGTCCTTACTTCCGATCGTCGCGGGTTCGATTCCTTTGTATTCAAGTATGAGTAAGACTGTTTGTTTCCTATCTATATTATATTTGTATTTTTAAATATATATTAAAGTATTTCTATCCCTTGTTTAGTATAAAACAAATTATGCTTAATTGCAAATTATGCTTGGGACTATATGTCGCTATGGGAATCGTCCTGGGTTATTTATTTATCTACTTGTTAAAACTTCAACGCTTTGTACTCAAATAAAGGTGAACTCAAACAAATGACGGACTTTGACGGTTGACTTGGAGAATATACCTCAAGGTGAGGTATTTTCTTCAGGTCAACCATAGGCCAAACTGATATTTATGTGGGGAGTGCATTCAAAATATTTAAATTAAAATTTTAAAAGTTTGTTCTAACGGTTAACTATAGGAGTGTTTTATCCCATTCTTGCAAATTAGGAAAAAAGCTCTAAAGAAAAGGACGGACATACCTGCTTCTTCCCATAGTTGCAGCCACCGAAACGACCACCGTTGCTGGCACTGTTGCGTCCACTCGATGTGGAACCACTTGAACTCTGGTGATGTACCGACGTACAGTAGTTATATACGTGACTATATATATAGTTGAGGAATTATTACTGAGAACTCATAAACAGAACTGACATCGCCTTGTTGTATTGTACTAGATGAGCGCGCAATTTCGTCCCATTTTTTACCATAACCTAAAGATGTATTATGTTTGACAGACGGACAGAGTCATTCATATTTATAATATTAGTATCTAACCCAAAAAAACCCTAAGTAAAAAGTTTAATCTTTCTAGCTTCAAAAATGACGATCACTTATTTTATTTTACCTCCTTACGTGCATTTTTTTTAGTAAATATGTTTTAAGCTTTAAAAATGATGATATTCCTATACAACCTTTCATCTCCCCTTTAACTTTGAACCTTATTTAAGTTTATTTGAATAAATGATTCTCTATTTCTATTTGCTTAAAAGATTTCGCACTAAAAAGTAGTCTTTCTCAAGGTCTAGACAATCTGTGTACCAAATTCCATTTAAATAGGTTCAGTAGTTTTGGCATGAAAGCAAGATAGACACACAGACAGAGTTACTTTTGCATTTACGATATTAGTAAGGAATTCAAATCGAACGCCTAACGGTGTCCTCAGACTAAAGTCGTATCCGTCAAGCGGCAGTTGGCCTTCTGTCCTTTCACAGCACTAGAGTACTCTGAAAAAAAAAATTAACACCGACGACATTGTACAAAGTGTAAGAAAATCAAAGCGTTTTCAATTAAAAAGGATACGTATACAATCCCATGTATCGTTCTTTGCTCATGTATTGTCTCTTGTAGACTTTTTCAATACCTTCTTGCAGATCACCCCATATCTGAAAAACAAAAAAAAATTAAATATTTTATTTATGAGAGCGTCATAACTTTGGGTATTGATTTATATCCCAAAAGTTCAATATTGTATGTAGAAAATATAATGAAAATAACAACCCTAAGCTATTTGTGATGGAAATAATAACCTATTACGTGAAAGATACCCATCTATGTGAGAGCGAGACAGCACATCAACTATCCCGCTTTAACATTTATGACGTTAGAACGAGAGTCATTTTACACTTATAGTTTTTGTCCTTTGCGTCATCGATCTAAGCTTCTAATTTATTTCTTTTTCAAACTAGCAAACGACCTCAGTGGTATAGTAGTTTAGCATAAAGTCTTGATTCCAATGTGTGCGGGTTCGTACAATAAAAATTTTATTCATCATTATATGAATTTACAAGTCGTTACCCGTGGTTTCATTTGCGTAATTTTTAATCCTCTATTTCACACCCTCCAAACATATTTTTTAAATATATAAAATATATTATACGTGTACCTATGTTGTACGTGATAATATAGGCTATATTCATGAGAATTTTCATTAAAATCCGTTCAGCCGTTTAGTTGTGAAAAGGTAACATATGCACAGACATTTTGGCATATTATTAATATTAAGTCTATGCCTTGTAGCAGGGAATGTAATTTAATAGAACTTTACATATTATGACAAAGTAATTTCATGTATGATTAGCAATAAGCTAAATTAAAAAAAAATATAGCAAATTTCTTCACTGATTCGAACCCCCAGCGGGGACCTCAGACTAAAGTCATATCGGTCAGGCTGGAGTTAGCCTTCAGCCGTTACATAAGTCCTTCCGCGGGTTTGGAGTGCCACCCCTATCGTCCGGTGAAGCTGTAAAGGCCATCTGCGGCCAATAGCATTAGAATAGTTCGAAAAAAAAGATCGAGCGATGATTCACGTAAATGTGCTTAAACTGCGTTCGGAGCATGGATATTCTTACAGAAAACTCTTAGAGAAATGTACAGTTCAAGACACGTCCTTATAGCGTACAGTATTTTTTTTTATTAAAGATCATAAATTGTTTGTTTTACGTTGTACAGTTGGCATCCCTGATACAAGACCTACCAAAGCGATAATCATAAGCACCTTCTATAAAAAAATCGAACGAAAGTTACATCAAAAATCACATTCACGTATTCTCAGCTTTGCATACGTAGTGTGTTACTATATTCTAAAAATACCACAGTATATACTCGTGGATATGATATTTTTTTTTCAAATCAAGTGTACTTGGCGCACTGCCAGAGTTGCATTAAAGATATTTCGCGTATACAAATCCCAATCTACAAAATGAGTTCGTGTTTCATTTTATAAACTTTTCTTTCTATTGGCTACACCCACCAATTCCGTCCTATTTTTTTAAACCTTACTTCCTTACTTATAATATTATAAATATGAGAATAACTCTGACTGTCGAGGTTTCACGCTAGTAGTAGTTTTACTACTAAACCGATTTAACATCTTTTTATCGCCCCTTTCAACCCCTTACAACCCTTTTTTCGTATTAAAAAGTAGCCTATTAGTAGTATTCCTGCCTCATGGTCTGGAATGTCTGCGTATCAAATTTAAATCGGTTCAGCAATTTCGACGGGAAAGCGAGATAGACAGACAGTTACTTTCACATTTGTAATATTAGTAAGGATTAAAAAAAAACAGTAAAAACATTGATTTTGTACAAGAAATAGATCAAGAACTGAATCCAAGACCGAATGGGAAAATCGGTCAATAGCACATCGCGCTTGCCCAATTCGGTGTTCCGTAGATACTCTGTTTTTATATTAGTGAAAGCGCTCACAGATAAGTTGCAGTCGACGTCGATTTACGAGGTTAAGCAATCTATCCAACTAATATTATAAGTTCGAAAGTTTGTCTGTTTGTTATCCTTTCACCATCATGTCCTTACTAATATTATAAATGCGAATGTAACTCTGTCTGTCTGTCCGTCTCGCTTTCATGTTAAAACTACTAAACAAACAAAAAAAAATGCACATACAATCCATATTTACTTCCAATTTGGCAATATTAAGATGAAATCGTTCGACAAATATTTATTTAATTTTTTGTGTAATTTGAATGACAAACTGTTAAGTGTTTTTTTTTAATTCTTTTATCGTTAATTAGTTAGTCGTGATAAATTCGTGGTGAATTTGTCACGATGGGCTAACTGACCTGACCTCATGTTCATTTCATCATCCACCACTGGTGCCCCGCTAGTCAACCGTTAGCGCAGGCAAGTGCACAATTCCACTATCATCTTTTAAAAAAATACATTTACCTTTTTTACCGCGCATTTTCTTAAAAAGGGGCACAATGCATGTCTAGCTACATTTCACTGCCTATTTTAAGCCACTCGGGTCTTAAATATTTTTTTTTGTTATTGATGTGTCCATCACTGGAGAGTTCATAAAACACAAAAATCTATGAAAACAGTTTCTTTAGACAGATGTAAACTGACATTGCGATATAAGGAAAGGGTACTAAACTACTAAATCACGACGGACTTTTCATTTTACCTAAAATCCTGCGTGTATTCTAAGTATGGTTCAAAAAATACAAACAGATAACACTAATTTTAGTTTTAAATGAGTCCTAAAACAAACAGTAATGCTTAGTACAGTTACAACAAATTAGCTACGTATCACAATGGTATTGGTGTCACCAAACATTCAAAATTTTCCAGGACAGTCCTACGTTATATTTATTTATGCCTACATGTGTAATATGTTCTATTTAAACAATAGCTGTCAAAAAGAACAATTCAACACCTATAAGAGAAGAGATATTGTACAAACTCGTCTGCGTAGTCGTTAATTACTTTGTAACGTATGTTTCTGTTGAATTTAAAAAGAAGCTGTGTTTTCTATTTACATAAAGGATGTATTTATTTAATAAAAATTAAGTATTTCCATCAGTTTTCTATTACCCATGACACAAATGCTATATAACTTGGCGCTGTGTGAATTGTCCTGGTTTATTATTATTATTAATTTGCGGTATTATTGTATAATATAATAGCTGCTCGTCCCATGGTATTATATAGTATTATTATAAGTATAACTGTCCCTCTTGAACCACTCTATGTATTGCTAAAATATGCATTAAAATCAGTTGCGTAGTTTAAAAGATGTAAACGAACAGACAACGGAAGCAATTTCATTTTATACTATGTAAAGATTATATTATAATTTTGAAAAAATATCTAAATGTCTCTGTATTTCACTTCTAACATCCCTCTGACTCGGTGTATGTACAGAAATTCGAACTCTACAGTTTTATTATATGTATATAGATTATACTACACAGAATAACAGCGCTGACAGTAAGCAGTCACAGCATATGCTGTGTGCCATATTGCTAATTAACTAGTTTTGTTACCGGTGTGTTGTTTACACACCAGATCACATGTTGTGCGATCGCTTTGATTCTAAGAAACTCGAGTTTGACTGATCGGATTTTTTGAAACTTCGACCTTTGATGAAATTTTTGTCTCATTCTCCGTATCATAACAATGTGTGCAAATATGATATCTTAAAATCGCTTAACGCTGCGCTCTATGACCTATACGTATAATTTTATCGGCTCTACACGCACAACGGCCAAGATGAGAACCTAAATGCGGAGATAAAGTTCATATTACATTACACTATAATTTTATTGTTATTTTATATTCATGTTATTAGTTGTCAAAAAAACTTATTCTTTTTCTTTCCATTGAGACTTGTCCGTCTTTTCAAAACAAGTGGTGGTCACTTTAGTCAGCATTTGACGTAAACAATGATGGCATTGTCAGTAATCTGTGCCGTGAAGTAGGCGGACTGATTGCTTTGCGCGGGTTTCACCGTTCTGGGTTACCTTTAACCGACTACGCAGATGCTAAATAAGGACGAATTAGTTCAACATGTCTAATAGTTTATTAGTTTCATATAGCGGTATATCGGACTACCTCATCATCAATGATCGCAGATTTATTTCAAACTAACCCTACCCCGGCTTCGCACGGATGCATTACAAATCTTTTACATTCTCGGCTTGTTGTATACATACACACATATATTACATATAAACCTTCCTTTTGAATCACTCTATCTATTGCTGAAAACTGTATTAAGATCCGTTGAATAGTTTAAAAGATGTAAGCGTACAGACAGCGTAAGCGACTTCATTTTATACTATACAAAGCTTATCCTATGTGTAGTAAATGACCATTATTCAAATACATGTTTACTTTATAGAAGTTGCTTTTATATATTTTCATTGTATTTTATATTTTAACGTTTGTTTTTCTAGTCCCATATTCTCTGTATCACGTTTTCTCCTAAAAGCTGAATACACACATTTACCTCAGCATGAAACGTGTCTCACATTATACCTAATACAGTCCACTATCACAACGTTGGCAGGGTCAACTAGTTAGACTGTAGAATTTGGATTTATACCGATTGAATTTAATAAAATTCATATTTTGCTTTATTAACCGACTTCATTATTACATAGTATAAAATAAAGTTGCTGTCGCTATCTGTCCGTCCCTATGTATGCTTAAATCTTTTAAAGTACGCAACGGATTTTGAAGCGATTTTCTTTAATAGATAGAGCGATTCAAGAGGAAGGTTTATATATATATATATATAATACATGTACACCCGTGCGAATTCCGGGTGGGTAGCTAGTATAGTATAAAACAAAGTCGCTATCTGTCCGTCCCTATGTATGCTTAAATCTTTAAAAGTACGCAACGCATTTTGAAGCGATTTTTTTAATAGATAGAGTGATTTAAGAGGAAGGTTTATATACATAATACATGTACACCCGTGCGAAGCCGGGTCGAGTAGCTAGTTTATATAATAAACAGAAAAAGAATATTTACTACGTTGACAGAACGTAGTGAATATTCAACCGCTTTTTCTACAGTCCAACTAGATGACTCAGCAAACGTTGTGTTGCCATATAAACTAATATCGCTATTAAAGAATAGGGGTTGATCGTAAAAGTATAAAAATTTAGGGCAGTATGTATTTTTAATGCCGGATTATAAAAAAATAAATCTTAATGTTTGTATTTATTTGACCTAACCCAATAAATACAATTATACTAGACTAGCTCTGTATTTCAAGGTCGTGAGTGAGGAAATGAGTACATATGCAAAACGTGATCTGTGTTAACATTAATTAAGTTACCAACTGTATTAATTAGAGCCCCGTCTCTCTGGTGAATGTATTTTTAGCCAACTAGTAAAGAAGGAAGGCAATGTTTCTTAGATTATTTTACCTAAATTTTAATGGGAAAATTATATTTATAACTTTATTCACATAAACTATCAATAAATTAAGTGAACTTATTTCGTGTTTTTTACCCACCCCCATCCTTTTCACAGTTCATGACATTTATCAGACTCCCCATTCCCTGGTGTGGTCATATATTATCTATACATCTATACTTACGTATAGATAAAACTGAAGTATCTGTTTGTACCTAATATTGAAATAACCGTTTTTTATTACATGAATCTACATACACCAAAAATAACACTTTTTACAATTTTTGTGTCTGTCTGTTTGTTTGTTCCGGCTAATCTCTGAAATGGCTGAACCGAATTTGAATGGACTTTTTTTTGGCAGATAGCTAATGTTTTAGAAAAATAAAGTTAAATTCCACGCGGATGAAGTCGCGGGTAGAGCTAGTATATACATATACATAAATATATGTATAATTTCGACTACTTTCATTAATATTTATACTTATTAGGTATGCCAGACGGGAATGTAAACGAAGATTAATGAGTAAAAGAGATAGAATATATGAGTGTGAGAGAGAGTTAGAATATGAAAGGTGGTGAAAACATGACGATTAATAATTATTGAATGTGACGTGACGAAATTTAGAACCCCTCCAACCCTCTTGTCACATAATGTGACAATCCTCCCCCGCTTTTATGTGTGATTTAATTTAAAAAAGACTTGCTCTAGACGTAACGAAATTAAATTCAATGAAATAAGTAAAATAATAAGTACTAATAAACATACTGATGTTTCGCCTGACAGTAAATGGTTGTACAATAACAGGAAACTTTTAACTTGTTTGTCTTATGGTTTAGTTCTGTGTTTTAGCATTATCCTTGTTGAGAGTAACCCGTCTCACTCTTCAGACATCCAAACGACTAAGGAGTCATGGTTCCATATCCTATAATTTGACTGCCATATCTCAACTGTCAATGGAGCTAAACTTAAAAGTACCCTAGTACTCATGACTATACACAATAATACATGAGAGTTACCACACATGTCACAAGACAATTTCATGTGGATGATCATGGTACTTGTTCCAATGAGCCATTACTTTATGCTTCATGTGACCTCCATTGTAGACCTTATGCGTTGCCATTTCTGGCGACTAAAATTACATGCTTCCATATCTAGTAATTTCACTGCCATATCTCAACCGCCAACTGCTAGGGGGTAGGGGATTGTTAGTGATGTGAACTGATGACCCCATTGCTAGCAATGTACCAGTCAGGTTGACCACCCCCTGGAAACCATCATGATAAATTCCTGATTTGTCATGATGGGCTAACTGATCTGACCTTATGTCATCCTCTACTCATGCCCCGTTAGCACCCGTAAACGCATACGCATTAAAAAAAAAACTTGGAACTGTTTACAAAGCAGCGATTTGGCAGATTAAATATGTAAGACAGAGGTAATCGCTAAGATAACTTTATCCAAAGAAATATAATTAAATATAGAAATAAAATTTTAAAATAAGTTTTTCTTACCAGATCAAAGTCCTTTTGCTTGAGCGGCATCTGAGTCTTCCCACTAGTTGCACTGGCTGAACTCATGGTGTCTCAATACCATATATAAAGAGAAAAAAAAAACAATTGCACAAATGCCTTTTAACATATGACTGCGTAAAAAAATCACTATCAACACTAAGAGATCACAGTAGTTTAGATTATATTTACAATAACATAATTTGTTGGATTGAGTCCCTATTTTTTATGTACAACACAGTTGATTCTTGGGCTTGTCAGTTCTGAAAAGAAAAAAAACTGTATTGTTACTTAATCCTTGACAACTGATACACATAAGTACTCTCTCTAACCTGGAGCTTTATCTACCAATGGTAGAGTATTCACGTGGTAGAAAATGTTTTTCAATATAATTATGTCAAATTGTACTTCTCCCTCACTGATAAAGAATGATGAGTTTTTACTGCATAATCGTTTACTTGATACTCTATATTATATTTGTTACTAAATAATAATATAGTAACAAATATAATAATAATCCACTGAAGGAAATGTTTGGACTGAGAGTGCAAGGGACCGAACGCTATGGAAATATTTGGAGGAGGCCTATGTCATATGACAGACTGTTGACATTTAGATGTGGAGAAAAATAAAAAAATAAATAAATATAGACTAACAGGACCACAGTTACTGCATAAACACATGTATAAATTTGTAAAGTTAACAAAAGCTTAAATAAAGAGTCTTATTATTATTATAATAATAATAATAATCTAGTAGAAATAGATTATTATTTCTAGTACAACACACAGTGCTATGTGTTGTACTGGACTATTATTTCTAGTTTCAAGCAAAGAAGAGCTCTTGTTATGGATAGCAGACAAATACAAATACTCAATACATTTATTTGAATACATACATGATATACATAGAATGGTTGATTCATGACACTGATACAAACATTCATACTTATGAATACAAATGTTTGCAATAAGATAAATGGAAAGAGAGAAATATAGATAAAACAGAAATATCTCCTTTGGAAAGTACACACTCTATTCTTTCAAACATAAATTATTCACTCACGTCTTTAAAGAACAAAAATCATTGTAGCAGGGAACACATATAATATAATAAGACAAAACACATATAATATAATATACTAAAACATGTACCAGCTACACCATTTATGTACGTTATATATTTAAATATCATTAATAAATTTTATTATAATAAATTATCTCATTACATAACAATATACCTAATTTACTACATACATTAATTAAAATTGCATTTATCTTTACATACATTTTCATACCTATTTATGAAATGGTCTTAATTTTAACGTTTTATTTTCTTTAGTAATATTTAAGTACACTCTCTCATGTGTGGTGGCCCCACTGAAAATCAGCGCTGTGGTATATGTATACTGCAGTATAAATACTGAGTGGGAGTCACATTCAGCGTTACTAGTTTTAGCTTTTAACTTTTAAGTTATATAGTATATAAGATAAATAGCATCTAAGCATACTGTAATGCTGAATAAATGTCTTTATTATTATTATTATTATTCTGAGGCAATACAAACAATTGCTCCTAGGGAGAGCACAAGAGAACTCAGGTCATAATGCTACGGGTCTATCTAAAAAACCTGGCAATACTACTAACCCTTCACTAAATTATAAATCAACAGTCACATCCTATATATCCTATATACATACATAACAACATGGAATACATAATAAAACACTTGAACAGACATCAGTTCTGATCTTTTGTATATATAGTGGTAGTTTGTATTCACACGTTTCTACTTGTAAAATGTGAACTTATAAGGATTGTTGAAAAGAGCAATACAAAAGTTTCTTGCTTATTCTTCTTGTGATGAGACAGCTTTCCGAATAAGTGGTAGATTTAAAAAAATGTTGACTATTCAAAAGTGCTTAAATTAAATTTATTTGAATAAATGATTTTCTATTCTATTCTATTCTATTCTTTTGTTACTCAACCCTGTATTTTATTACTCAACCACCTGAACAAGATATAAGGCAAAATATCTTAGTTCTCCAGAATAGAAACGTATGTGTGGTATCACAGGTGTAACAAGATAATGTGATGTCCATGGTACAGTTTATGAATACAGACAATGGTTACCACTTTGATCCAATAGCCATGTACCATGACACATTGACCACCACACCGTTTCCCTGGAAACCACCATGATAAATAACTGGAGAATATGCCACAATGGGCTAACTGACCAGACATTATGTCCTACTTTTATGATCCTCCACTGGTGCCCTACTCAGTGTAAACCGTTAATGCATGTGGATTATTCATTCCATTATCAATCACAAAAATGATTGTTACCACTGGCTATCATGTATAATGATGTATGTATAATGAGAAAGGTGTAATTTATATGTGGAAACTAAAAACTTTTTTGAAATAAAACCTACCTACAAATTTTTGCAATGATAATTGTCCTAACAGACAGTTGGATAGAAGAATAAATATGCCAAAAAATTATTTCTAACCAATAATATACTCAGTTTCTGCTTACTAACTCAAGTTCAATTTGAGTTACTACAGTTTTAACTTGAGTCATGGTTTTTTAGAATTGGCACACCACTATGATTCAGTAAGTTAGGAACCACTAGTGGATCACTCCTTTATATTATTTTTAGAAGTGCCATAATTAACTATGTTATAAGACCTTAGATAATCGATTAGTTTTTTTGTATAAATTTTGACAAATTTATCCAAAAAAACTAATAGATTATCTATTGTTACAAAATAAAAAATGTGCATTCAAATATATTTACGTCGCCAAGTTACAATGTAATAAACTGACGAGATTTTGAAATAGCATAAATGAATTCGAATAGAAACTGGCTAATTATCATACGAGAGATATGGTAATTAGAAAAAAAAAAAATAATCGTTAACCAATAGATAACTTTCTACAAAATCCTACCCCACAATGTAAAATAAATTACGAAATAGCGGGAAATGGCACAACGACAGAAGCCTCTAAATGACGAAAAAGTAAAAGTGCATGCATCTGACAAAGGAATCGAGATTTTGCAATCAAACAAGGGCAAACCAAAACATGTTTTTTTTTGTACCATAAATATAGAAGCCACGATTCTTACCTTAACAGTTTCTGTATTCTATATCATGGCACTGTTGTTTAACACTTTACAAACGTAAAATAAACTGTCTGATGGAATAAATTTTGGTAACAATTACGACTGATTTCTTTTTCTGAGATAGCTAACAAATACCTGTCAATCTACTGACAGACAGGTATGTACTATATTAGTCGACAAATATAAAAAGGCTTTCGACTGGTTACAATTATTTGAAGCAGACGTAAATATAAATTTGGTTGACTTATACTTACGTAGCACCCGTTTTCACGCTGTCATCCACCACATTTTATTGGAGTTTTACCACAACACAATATAATGTTTAGATAACACTTTAGTTTTCTGGTTAATATGAAAATTAGTACAAAAAATCAAGACTGTAATAGGCCTTTTCTAGTCCAACCATGTCTTTTTACACTTGATTGGAAAAAAAATATAAAGAAGAAGAGAGAAGTAAAATAGTTTATTTTTTGACACTAGGTGGCAGTCAGTAGGAAGTAGGAAGAGCTCTGACCATAGAGTAGAATAATAGATACCAGCAATAGAATGAGCGTGCGTATTTATTAAAAACGAGTAGTGTAGTGATGACTTGCTCAGTTATGTACTGAGCAAGTCATCAAACGGATATTATGACAGTAACATAAAGCTCGTAGTAAGTTTCCTATATACGAAAGAATATAATAAATAGCATATTTGTTTGCGCTAACGATATACGTTGGCGGGACACCTGATAATGGAGCATGATAAAATAACGCAGAGTCAGCCGTAGTTCATTTATGGAATTCACCAAGAATTAACCAAGTTAATTTAAGGGAGAGTGAGTGGGTGTCGACTAAACAATACTATTAACGGAGTTAGTAGTCAATTAAAAATTATCTAATATTTATATGTATAAGCTAAAAAAAATCAACAAGTTAAAAAAATTAAAATAATCGTCATATTGTATGAAATTATCCCACGATTGTCATACTCATTATAATTTAAAATAGTGATGTGTTGTCTACATAAAAACCGAATATTACTCAAACGATTGTTATGTAAGCATTCAAATCGAAAAAAAAAACAATTTTATAGAATAGTAGTTTTATCAGTTAACATCACACTACTTAAACCACTATATAAATATTTTATATCGGATTGGTTGGCCAACCTCTCTCTTGATCCGTGGGATAATTGTTTGAGTTGATCTTGATACCATATAGCATATGTTTAGTTCTCCAACTTGTTAATTAATCGAATTATTAAATCGATTTTTATAAAACTATTGATTTCCGTAATCGATATTTTTTGCACATCCTTAATTCAATCAATATTTTTTTTTATTTCATTCTATTCAATAATAATAGGTCGTTTCATTCACTCACTATTTATATTCTATAATATATAGTATTGTTTTTATTATTAGAAAATTACACAATTCGTATCGACGTATATTAAATAATAATACGTGGACTGAAATATATTTAAAAGATTATTAAAATGTGTTATGTTATAATTACTGGTCGTAGTTTGTCGTGGCTGCTAATTAGTTTGGTTGCATTTATGTTAGTTTTGACCGGTATCATGACTCCAAAATGGTTAATGGGTCAACCCGTTGTGATAAATGACAATAATATAACAGGATTCTACGTGCCTAGTGTTGGAATATATAACAGGTAAGCTCACTATACCACGATGTATTTAATGAAATTGTTATTTATTTGTAATAGAAAATTATAGTTTCTCTTAATTCGCTGTGTATCTTCATGCCAAGTCGATAGTGAGGTATGTAGAGAGTTAATTTTGTGGTGTAGGCCTGTCCAATTTGGAGGAATTATAAAATAACACATTTTTTTTCTAGATGTATCCGTGGGTACAGTGATTGTGGATCCTTCTCCTTCTATGGGCTCGCAACTGAAGATAGTGTATACCCTAAGCCTTGGAAAGCAGCAATGTTCTTTTTATCTCTATGTGAGTATTATGTCTTAATTTTTCGTATACCAAATACCAGTTTTTTTCACCATTTCATTCATCAAAGTCATCAGAGTGGGTTCCTGCATACTCATGTAATGGATTTTTCTTGATTTCCATGACTAGTCTCATCTGAGTGCAAATAGGCCAGTATAACACCAACTTTCCTCTAGAAGGCTGACTCCCAGCATGGGTAACTTAGTCACCTATCTTAGCTCCCAAACAGCTTGCTTTGTAAGCTGTGTTAGTTGATGGATGAGATAAGGCAGTAAAATTACTGGATGTAAAGGCATGACATGTTAATCATTACTGATGGCAATACATGAGTGCTATAAGGGTTGTCACAGAGTAATTTGTTGTACATGGCCCTGACTATGTATATAGGCCACTGTTGTCACATACAATCAGGTTGCCAGCTTGTTTCCGTACCAGTTATTTAAAAAAGAAATTTCGAAATATATGTAAGATATTTGTATTCATAAGTAATGGTTTGTATTACTCTGGGTGTTTTCTATATATATTAAATACATACATTTACAAAACAAATTTATCTAAGTATTTATATCAGTTATCTAGTACCCATAACACAAGCTTGTCAATGGGTAAGTATTATTATATGTAAATTATCTATGGTAGGTGCTGCCATCCAGTTTGCAACAGTGTTGGCAGGGGTACTGGCTTGCTGTGTCCAGTCAGTGTTTAAGAAGAGTGTTATATCACTGGCGGGTGCTACCCAGGCTCTGGGAGGTATGTATACATCAATTCATTTGTATTACCATAGTATATCATTAATTCTTCACATAGAATTGATATTCCTTTTCAATTAACATATTTGACGCCCGCCATTATGAGCAATAATAATAATTATATAACAATCTTGGAAGTATAGTGGTAAAGCACACCACTGTATTTTCCATGGTTGCAGGTTCGATTCCTTGCTTGGTACAAAAAATTGTGTTCATGAGTCTCTACATATTTATAACCCCATAACACAAGTTCTCCTTAGCTTGGGATTGTAATCGTGTGAATTGTCCTGAGATATTATTTTAATAACATTGTCAGTTCTTCTTGCCTCGAAACTACATGTCGAACTGATGGTAAATTTCATTTAACATAAGTGTCTGTAGACTGAAAATAAAAAGAAAGTGTTGAAACATATCTCTCGCCCATAGACATAACTATACATTACTTGTGCTTATTTCCGGTATTTACATGGCTTTTTTAATTCATGTATATTTTTTAACTTATTGTCTATTAAAACAGTACAAAGGCCATTTCATCACTAAGCAATTCCTGATCAACTTTAGGTTTACACTAATGATATTCACAGGGGAGACACCAGTGGAGGATGATAGAATGAATAAGAAGTCAGGTCAGTTACCTCATCCTGATAAATTCATTAGGAATTGCCACGATTATTTCAAGGTGGGAGCGCAGGGAGATTGACCTGACATACTAAATTGCTAGCAATGGGGTAATACTCCCCATTTTGTCTCCATTATTTCATCCCAGAAGCTACATTGTTAAATAGTAAAATATACTGTATTTTATGTCTATAATAAATGCGTGAAGAATCCGAAAGAGGAGTATGAAATTGTTTATGTAGATAACAAATGTAGAATGCTATTTTTTTTTAACTATGCTGGAAACATGTTATTATTAGACTCACACACATAGATAATATTTTGTTTATAGTTACAGTCTGCGGTCCAACCGCGATAATATTGTTTCTTTAATATTGTTTGTTCAATAATAAATGCATTTATTGTAATAATATATGAACCTTAATAGTTTTCAAACTAATTAAGGTCCAATTTCGATCACCAGGCAACCACTAGTAAAAATAAATATAGATTTCTACAATAATTGTATGAAAGGAAGCCAGGTGGGTTGCAGGTGAACCAATGTTGGTTATTATATTTCCAGGTCTATTTGGGGTGTTAGGAATGCTGTTGTACCCTTGGGGCTGGGGTGCTGTCCGTGTGAAGAGGCTGTGTGGAAAATACTCTGAGCCTTACATGCTAGGAGACTGTTCTATAGGTAAGTAATTGTATTGATATAAACTGAACCGATCTTTCACATTTACTTCTATTTCTTTTTTCTTATTATTCTTTCATTTTTTCTACTCATATCCGTCAGGCAGTTGCCTGTCAGCCGCTTCATAAATTCTTCGGGTTTGGAGTGACATCTGCTCTCACCCCCTATCATCCGGTGAAGCTGTAGAGGCTAGCTTAAATTGGAATAGGATCAAAAATTTAGGATTCCATAGCGAGCAAACAACGTTACGAAAAACACATAATTTTAAGATTAGCAACTGACTTTGAAGTCGGGTAATTTTTTATTTTAATTTATTATTTCAGGCTGGGCCTTATGCGTGACTGCTACAGGCGTTGCATTGATATTCCTCGGCAGTGCACTCTCGAAACCGGCAGATAAGGCGGCAAACTCTGATAAGGTACAATTTCAAATGGACGAAGGCAAACAACTCATATGTCTGGCTTAATTGCTGACTACAAGACTGGTATACAAATATAGACTTTATATACTATATTGTAATTTTTGTTAGTATAAACAGCAGCTTATGAGTATTTTTAGTTTTATATGAAAATATAGTGGTCATTGTGGTTAGTGGTTGTTTAGCTGCTATAAAAAAATGGTTGTTTATAGTGTTGTGTTTCATTACCTTTCGTTATCTGAAGTAATTTAAAACTAAAGAGTTTGTTTGTCTGAACGCGTAAATCTCAAGAACTACTACTTTTAATTGGAAAAATACTTTAGTCTCGCATCGCCAAAAATATTTTAATCAATTTATTGAGGAAGCTATAGGATGTATAACATCACGCTACGACCAATAGGGACGGAGCAGGACAAAAATATTGCAAAAACAAGGAAAATTTATTTAATTTCTTTTATGCGAGGCAGTCGAAATCGGCGGGTTCGCTGGTGTCATATTAAAATATTAATTAATACTGTGAATTGTTTATTATGATTCTTTTTTGTTATATGACTGCTGTTTATACTAAGACTGTTTGATATATAAAAAAGTATATATAGATTTAATTATATTATTATATACAAATTATACACAAATGTAAGATTATATTTAATGTAACATGATGTCATGTGGTTATTTGTGTGAAACAAAGTACTGAATTATTCTGTGGCGTAATTAGATGGGGCTTTCCCTACATTGACAGAAGCTACACGTTGTAGTTTCTTTAATTTTGTTAGGAAATTATTTATTAAATAATAAGTATTTCCTGTTGTCATACTTTAGAACCAACCGCCCTACGGACTGGGGTAGTGCCCAGTGTTTACCAACGCGAGGCGCACGTTCCAATTTAATTTTTAAAGGGGGCAATTTGTAAATGTCTCGACACGAGTTTAACCCTTTTGCTCCATCCCATTTAAATGCAATACAGCACGTACGGTGCCAAATTTATTGAAAAAAGCAAATTCTTAAATAATTTTTTTATCACATAAAAATTTTAGAAAGTCAAATATAGGGCATGGCACAAATAGGTTGGGAAACACTGCTCTTGTTTGTCACCATCGTGGTATAAAAAAATTGTCGAAAACGATTTGTAGTAATTAAAGACATATAAATAAATATACTCAACAAATTCTAGTAAAAAAAAACGTATTCTTCAGCTCTCTTTGTTTATTCTGAAATTCAAATAGTGATGTTCGTAATAAACAATGTTAGTAAAGACAAATTAATTTCTTATTCTATGTTCTTTAATATATATTATAATAATAATATTAAAAAAACAATATTATGAACAATACTCATTTAAAATAGCTTTTGTATTTTAAAAAAGATTATTTTTCTCATGTCACGAGTCTTAAATATATAATTTTTAATCTCCTTTCATACTACCTTCAAAAAAGACATTTTCTGCTTGTATAGGGTTAGTGGTAAAGGTTATACACAACCAAAAACGTGATATTACTTATGAAAACGAACTTTATTCCGTGAGAAGTAAAGTAGATTGTTTAAAAAAATCTTAATGCCCTTCATACAAACTGGACGTCTATAACCCGTCGTACTGATACAATTTATCTTTACGTCGTAGTTTTGTCGTGAAAAGGTAGCAAATAGACTGACAGTTCATATCCGTCAGGCAGGAGTAGGCCTATAGCTGTGCTATCGTCAGGTGAAGCTGTAAAGCTGCGGCTAACAGCATTAGACAAAAATCTATAGACATCCTTTTTATTTGTAGTATTAGTCTGAGGAATATAATAGTTAATTTTAATAATTTAATACTCATTTTTGTGGAGATTCTTATGATTTTGTACGCTTTAATTATTAAATATTACAAATTTATTTCTAGAGCATTAATTTATGAATAAGATAATCCAGTGTTATTAATACTTTGTATAGCTGATATTCCACTTGTTATTAGATGCCTTGCTTATATTGATTCTTAAAGTTATATAGATACAGTTATAATATAAATAAATGAAATGGAAACAAGCAAAAATGACATATTTTTGGTAACATTTACAATGTTAGTTAGTGATCAAGATAAGATATACTTATTTAAATTAAATATAATCACTGCCATACTATGTTACAATTGTAACAGACTGAAAATATACTTCCAGTAATTTAATGTATATTTACAATTTACATAAATATAAAACTTTAATATTTAATATTGTAAATTACAATATCCAGTTGAACCAGATCTCTCTATATCTATATTTTTTATTATTGTCTTGTTTACAAAGTTATACAATTGTAAAAGACAGTTATATATTTACAATTAAATAATATAAATATATTCAGTAAAATAGTTTCGTATGAAAACCGATAATATGATATACAGTGTTAGTACGGTACTATGTCAGTTATAGTAGTCAGGAATAAAATATATGAGTAATATTTACAATTAGAAATAAATTAAATTTATTATTGTAATATTAATGATCAAAACCTCTAATCAAATAAAATTACATTTAGAGTTATTACTGTCAATTCTACAGTTGCGAATGACAGTGTCCAATATACTTCATATCTTAGTAAGTTATATTTACAATTTACAAAAATGTATATTTTATTGTTGTAAACTCAGTTGTCATTTTTACAACATCATACAGTTGTGAGTGACATTCTAGAATATACTTCCAATTAACGATATAAATAATATTTACAGTTTACAAAAATGTTTTACTATTCTAATTTTAATATTACAAATTACAATTATTCAGTATATTATATTATTATTACAAATAATGCTTATATTATCACAAATAATGTATTAAACTTTTATTATATAAGTATAATTTAAAAATAAGTGCCAATTACACTTATCGCCTGAGAGTCTATTACGAAATGATAAATTAAAAATCGAAATGAACATCAGCTGTAATTTTGGAATATGAACTTTATTTATTTCAGTATTGAACTCGATTCGATCGTATTAAAAAAGCCTAAATGAAATTTCGTAATGCTCTCTCAGGTATATGTACTAAATGTAATATGAGATATATATACTCAAATATTATGTAAGCAATTTATATAATTTAGTTCTTAGGATTGGTACGTACCTACCTATCACGGTCATGGCATGGTGACGTGATGCTGTACTTGTATATTCGCAATAGTTGCCAGTTTTTAACAAGTGGGTCCACAGTTATATAAATAATATGTATTTACAAAAAATAGAATGATTTTATGAAAATAGTTATTTTTATGGCAATTTTAAATGAGATCAAAATAAATACTATAGATTATACTGGCTACAATGTAATTAAGAAATAGAATTAGTAAATGTTATTTACAAGTTAAACGGTCTATCACATTAAAAAAAGGAGCAGTATCGGAGCAGTGGTATCATAATTATTGTTGTACTAATCCTAAGGATTGGTAGGACCTACCTACCACGGTGATGGCATGATGACGTGATGCTGTTCTTGTAATATTGTTCTAATAATAAATATTCGCAATAGTTGCCAGTTTTCAACAAGTGGGTCAACAGTAACGTATAAATAATATGTATTTACAAAAAATAGATTGACTTTAATTCAATAGTTATTTTTATGGCAATTTTAAATGAATCTAATATAATCCATACAAAAAAATACATCAACTAGTAATTTTAAATGAGGCCATAAATATAACTATAGATAATACTGGCTACAATGTAATTAAGAAATAGAATTAGTAAATGTCATTGACAAGTCAAACTGTCTATGACACTAAAAAAAGGAACAATATCGGAGCAGTCGTATCATAATTATTCTTGTATCTATCCACTGTTGGATATAGGTGTTTCCCAATGCCTTCTACCATGTGCGATCTTCAACTTTACGCATCCCTCCACTTTCAGACTCCTTGATGTCGTCGTTCCATCTTGAAGGAAGATACTCCGTCGACTCGTAACGTTCTGACCCATCTACTATAGCTAACTCGGCTAATATACCGTGCCAACTGCCACTTCATCTGATATACTTGGACCACTTTGGTCTTCCGAATTTCTTCATTTCGAGCTTTTATTGGGGATAAAATAAACTCGGGGGACACTATGTGAAATCAGTTCCGATTTCGTTACGGACGGACGGACACGGACGATCTAGGAAGAGATCCAGGACGCTCCCTACCACTATTACGATATTGTATTTGATTTTTGTGGCATGCATATTTTATTAACAAGTTAAACGGTCAACACACGACTCTAAAGTCAGGTGCAATATCAGAGTAGTAATGGTAGAAGTAAAATCAATTCTGCTGGCACATTACGTGAATAACCGTGAATACCCACCCATACATATCACATCACTGCTCCAATGTTGCCCCTCGATTTTTGTGACATGTGAAAGCCATTTTAGTCTTCTTTATCAGTGCCATAAATGACAGTAGGTACATAAAAATTCAGTATTATTATTTTGGGCGCAAAATTGTTAAAGATATGTTCCTACTTTTAATTTTATTACCTTTCTCCCCAGATAATGTATGTTTCCTGATATAATCGAAATAAATCGTTTATAAACAAACAAATAGGCGTAGATATTTATGTACTGTCTTTTCAAATTTTAATAGCTTATATTGAACTTGATGTCCGATTTTGGTTTTATTGTATAGAATAGGCTGCATATTGAAGTTGAAACCTATACGAATGGGATCTATAATTATGATAATTAGAGTCACTGTCAGTTGGCTAGAGAACACAAGACTTGATATACCAATATTTTGCTGTATTTGAATTCATCATGACAGTCGACAAGCCTGCTACCGTCGATTAATTTGGTTTGTTACGATGTTTATACATCACCGGAGAGTTAGATATTAAAATTGAAAATTATATGCAAAAGAAAATATATCTATATTTTGTGTTTTATAATTTCTATCTATATTGTGTGTTTTTAAATACGTATGTTTTATTTTTAAATAAAATATTATTATTATATAAATATATATTTACATTTAAGAAAGCATTTATAGCTATTGTATAAACCGTTATGAATAAGTGCTTTAATTTTTATTTTAATCTTTTATACAAATATACTTCTTATACAATATGATTTGTATTTTTTTTTCTATCATACCTGAGCGTGATGAATTTCTAGAAAAAATATAATTAACAATTGCTAACATGTCACACAATAAATTAGTAGGTAGGAAATTAAAAACAAATCCGGGTTAAAATGTGGTGACCCCTTTCCAGTTCATGTTCTTTGATTTGAGAAGTAGATGTACAAAAGCTTATAAAGGCCGGCAGCGCGCCCGCAATTCCCCTGGTGTTGCCGGTACCATGGGCAGCGGTAACCAGTTACCATCAGGTGAGCCAAGGTGAGCAAGCTCGTTTGTCCCCTATACTGCAAAAAAGGTAATGAAAGTCTTAGAATAGGCAATGAGTTTTCAAACGTCTGAACAGCTCTTCATAAAGTATGTATAGCTAAGAAGCATATCGATATAGAGATTATTGTTATTAAATAAGTTAATGGGATGCTAATACGAATATTTTTTTAGTGAATACAGGTACTTATGTGTTTCTTCTATACAGTTAGATACCTATACAATATCCATTTAATAATTTTATTTAATTTTTGTAACAAACTGGATGTATGAAACAAGCAATATATTGTATAGTAGTAAGTAATATTATGTTATCTGTGATAGTAGCAATGTATGTCAAAATGTGTCACAGACTAAAAAGTCTGTTCTTTCTGTGGTTCCGATGTTTCTTCCTTTGCTACGTAGCTCGTTTGAGGAAAATCATGTTACGAGAAGTTGTAAAATAAGTAGAAAGTATATTGTATTTATATTTGCGCCTCTACAAAACCCCTAGCACAACCCCAAACCCGGACAAAACTCAAATTATTTTTACCTGTTATACACAATTACACACTTAATATTAAATTACAAACAATACTATAAACATCAAATCGTACTGGCTGGTCTAGTACATTGTCTGTGGAAACACTAACGTTTTTTGACGTAGCTGCGTGCGCCGCATAATCGGCTGCGCGCGCAACTAGCTAGCGAACAGCGCATGCGCGTGTTACAAGATTACGAGAAAAACAGAGAGCTATGACACGGAACTTACGCTGATTGCTTTATAAATAATCCTTTATTCCTTACTAATTACCTTCAACTCCTGTTTCTAATGCTAAATTGCTGTGATTTGTGTTGTGTATAAAAACTTGACGCTCATAAGCGGCTACTTCTGCATGAGTAAATGATTTTTGATTTGATTCGATTTGTGTATTATATTCTTCTTTAATCAATTGTAATTTTATTGTGTAACTGTGTTTGTGTGGACATACATAACTATACTGTGTCTTGTACTTGTTTTATTTATACATCTATAACAAAGTAACCGATACCTGCTTAAATGTGTTCCTCAATTAATAGTATTTTACGTTATATATATTACTATTATTACACTCTTATAATTGGTGACTCTTATAACATTTAGAACATGTATAATACCAAGACGCACAACATGGCGCTATACTACAAGGAGAGCGTAGTTGTAATGTCACTACATACTGGGATAACGACGGACGAGATTTTTGCCGTGGATCCCGTGACGGATTAGAAATTTATAAGGTAGCCATTCGTGTACCTTCATAGCTTATGACAGAATAAATTGACTTTATATTGGTAAAAGAATTTCCAAAATCGGTTCACCAGATCTAGAGATTACCCTTATAACCTCACAAACTTTACCTCTTTATAATATTAGTACCTACAGATGTGTATTAACAATCAAAGTTTAAACAAAGTTTTGTTTTCAAACAAAAAATAAAGTAATAATGTAACAAATAGGTAAGACATAGTGCCTACTATACAAAGTGTACCTTAGGAAAATGGTGTACGTTGTTGCATTTTCAGAACTAAATGTCTGCAATGAAATTGCACGTAAAGAGTAGAAGTAGAGAATCTACACGTAAAGTTTGTATCAGAATATAAAGAATAAGTACATAAAAAGAAGTCACGTGTAACAGCTAGTAGATATGTTTCTATTAGTAGACATGATTATTTGAAATTAGAACGTACCTACGTCGGCCATTTTTAAAAAGAACAAAGAAAAATCACTACAAGGCTTATGAGGAATCAATTATAATCAATTATTTACATGCACTTTGTGCAGGCTTCCTTTTTTAAATTAACCCTTAATTTTCCTGTTTATTACAATCGCATAAAAGCGGTAAAATGCAGATATATAATTCTTTTGAAACAGAAGCTACATTGCTAAGTAGTTACTTACCTATCAATCAGTAGTAGGTATTTAACTAAATTATCTAGTTTTAAATTCAACGTACCTACTTAATAAGCATCATGCTTTTCAGTAGGGCGTATCTTTTGTGACGTGGCTTCTGTTGGTAGGTTTCTTGTAAATATACCTACAGTTAGGGATGCCAACCTTCAGTATTACCACAAATTATAAAACTTAGGAGAAAAACGTGACCTCATACTGAAGATGTCAGTATGAGGACATGTTTTTCTCCTAAGTTTATACAAGATTATGTTCTACGGAATCTAATTAAAATACGATTATGAGTACGAGAGCTAAATTGAGCCACAATATATAAGATTGTTCACTTCTTTTAGAACGCGAACTTTTATAAGTTTGGCAACCCTGTCTAAATATTAAGTAGATACTATGGTATCATCCATATCAATATTTTTTTCCAAAAATATGGAGTAGATATGTTTAATTTTCCATCCATTAAATTGTCATTGCAATCAACTGGACAGCGGTCATCCACCAAAAAAAAAAAGTTATTTCCAAAAACTTTTAGCCATGCATCGTGGAATCACTTTCCAGCAATGGTATTTCCGAACCAATACAATATTGAAATCTTCAAGAAAAGAGCTTATTTTTTCGTTAAAGGCCGGCATGGATTTGATTTTTCCCTGGTGTTGCGGGTGCTCATGGGCGGCGGTATCATTTACCATCTGGTTAGACAGAAGCTCGTTACTCCTCTATGCTATAAAAAATAGTATAGGTCTGGTAGGTACTAGAAGGGTACTTTTTTAATATGAGTATGGCATGGTGCACCAGCCTGTGCACACCAGTGCATGGTAGGAAATAAGG